GTTAGCTTACCTTATCATACAGATTGAAAACAGCTAGCTTGGCTCCTTTTACAAAGCAAAGGTAACAAAATCCACATACTAGCACCTCTAAAGTTCAAGAATGAACACATTTGTCTCCAGAAGAATTGCTAGCTTTTCTACTTGTACTGTAAACAGTGAAGGAGCACAAAACACAATTGTGCTTGGAAAATTTACTTAGTCAAGTTAAGTTAAGTCTTGTTATTCATCCTGCTGTGGTTCTGTATTCGTTCACCTCAATTTTGTTTTGACAAATCGTGATTTGCTAAAATTATGATCTTGGGAGAAACAAACTTCCTTCCTCCAAAATATAACATTATTTTCATTATGAATATTCATGCAAAGATAACTTCTAGGTATTTAGACACAAAAGTTTCACACAAAAGTTGGTTAGTTCTCTTTACACACCTGTGCAATACCCATGCTGCCTGATCAGCATCTTGATATGCCACACCTTTGAGGTGGATGGATTATCTCGGCAAAGGAGAAGTGCTCACTAACACAGATTTTGACAGATTCGTGAACAATATTTGAGAGAAATAGGCCTTTTGCATACATAGAGAAAGTCTTTGAGTTCAGCTCATGATGAATGGGGGCAAAAACAAAAGTGTTGCGTTTATAATTTTGTTCAGTATATTTAGCAAACAGCCATGACGGTGGTATTGATCTCCCCATATAACTCTTGGCAAGAGAGCAAACAAGCATATGCCCCACGATGTTTAACTTCCTTTTAATGAGCACATGCTGTATATTTTAAAATATGTCACTCTTATGGCACACAAATACAGATGTTTAATTGTGATGTTTACCCATTTTAAATTCGATAACTGCCATGCTGCGCCTTAATCTGCCTTAGTAAAATGATAATTAGTCCAATCTCTCGTCTCCTTCTCTCAGAGAATCAAGGCCGTGGCAGCCCCGGCGAAGTCAGGCGTAAGCTCTCGCCCGAAAGAGTACAACTTAAAGGGCAGCGAGCTGACACAGCCCCTGGACCCAAACGGGAACAATGGCTTGATCAAGCCCACCCACACCATTGTAGAAACAATGATGTGAGCGCTCTCTGTGAGAGGAATAAGATTGACGTGCTTTCTGTGTTATTATCATATTTGCTAACATTGATAATGGTAGGTTTATATTGTCCAATATATTCACGTTAGAGATACTCTGGCTTGATTTCTATGAAGAAAATTATATATTATTGTTGTAATTTTTTTTACTATATCGATATTGTAAATGTTACAGTTGTTTGCTGTAGTTGGCACTGATCTCAGTTTAGGCAGTATTTTGAGATAGAACATTTTCAGTGTTTACTACCTGTCTGTTGATTCCAGAGAGATGAGGAATATGCTTTTTGGTGTAATAGAAGAAAAGATTAAATTCTCACTCCACATAAATTTAGTAAACTAAATGAGTAATCAACCATGTAAAAGGTAGAAAATGTCTAAACACCCACAAGTAATTGTTGCCCGAACTAATTTCTAATCTCTTGTTGTTGGTGTTGTTGTTGATCCCTGCAGTGAAAATGAATGTACATCCGCTAGTGGCGGAAGCGAGCCACCCACATCTCCATAACATGTCAAGTGGCAATATGCAGTGTATAGAGTTAATCTAGCTTAACATCCTTTTAAGATAATTTGAACAAGGCCTTGGCCAAATACTGTGAGAAATGCGTTCATAAAAAGACCCATCCTCAAAAACAGTTGAGACAAAAATAATAAAAGAGAAAAACAGCTAAGGAAGAGGAAGTAAGGAGAAAAGGGAAGTGGCATTTTTGGAGTATTTGTACACTGCCTGTGTGACTACTATAGTCAGTCCCAGTGCATTTATCAAAACCTCTCTTTGCACTTTATATGTCGTTTCACCTTTATTGTAGTATTTGTTTTTATTGTTGCAAGGTATTGGTTACATTTGCAACACATTTCAGGAGGAAATATTTTTAGCTTCTAACGTTTTGATATTGTACATTTTGATATACAGTATCTAGTTGTCTCCTTGCTAAGACAATGACAAAATAGAGTAGACATCTATTGGCAAGTATTTTGATTTATAATTAGTACTAGGATTTTTCACATCCTGACAGCTCTCCTCATTGTGCTCATTTTAGTAGCAGATATGCTGCGCAGAACTACCACTGGATTCTAGTTTCTAATGTCTAATGTTAGTTCTTAGGCATTTGTATTGTAGAATTTTAATTGTTTGTAAATCACACATGCCTTTTTGTAACAATTTTATACTGTACATCATATGAACACCATCACTGATTCATTCATGTTACTGACAGCTCAGCAATTTGTTGTATAAATACTGATTACATTGTGAGCCCGGATTACATTTTTCTGTGTGAGCAGTGGCATTCTCTGCTCATTCAAAATGCACCATCAAATTTGAAATAATTGTAATGTTCCATAATACTACAAGTTGCACAGTTAAACACAAAAAATCTGAAGGAATTGTTATCCTGAAGCACGTGCAGGAGCCACCCCAGTACCATGCTGCTTTGTCCGTAAAAATCCTGTGCTACTTTCAAGAAAAGTGTACCAAAGCATTTTATGTCTCACAGTTGTCCCCTTCCAGATGCACATTGCATCATTTCTACATAGATTACAAATAAACATATTTTTCTTTGGAAGTTTTTGTGTTAATAATTCTTTTATTCTATAAATATTAATGTCTCTGATGCACTCATCATTCCTGCAAAGTGGAGAACTAATGACACTAATATATTTATTACTATTGTGTCGGATATTTACTCTCTGAGGCTGAAATAATTATGTGGTGACAGGATTGAAACATTATAATACAGCCCATTAATCGGCAGTGGAGTTTTGTTGTATGAATCAGGTAGCAATAAAATACTTACCGGTCAATACTTATACTTAAATGTAGGTTCAGTGCAAGAAAACAACACTATGGGGAACAAGGCAGTAACAACTGGCCATTTTAGAGGAAGCATCTAGATTGCAATCAATCCAAACAACCTAAACTGGTTGGCTAAATTGCCTCAATCGTCGAAGTCCCTCTTTATTCCTAGGTCCGTACCCCTTTTCTTGAGTTTCCTACTCCAAAACTACATTGTAGTTGTTCAGTTTTGATTCACAGTACTGTACACCATAGTTACAAAAATGCCGCAGTATTCCCTTGTTCCTTATGGGCAAGTTTTCTTCCACTGTACCTACAGTAAATTTAAGTACCAGTAGGAACCAGTATTTTGCCTCATTTACGCTGTAAATCATGGCCTGTATTATAAAGTGTTACTGAAAAGTTTAATTCTGACAATATAATCAGGGCTGCATATTGAAAGAGTTCAGCATCACACAGATGATTTAGAATTTCAGTGCTGTATCAACTTATCTGTCTTCATACATGTACACGCCCTGCAGGAACGACACTAAGCTGGATATCATTGCAGTTCTTATCTTTCAAGATGACTTAACTCCAAGCGCTGGGCAGTGTGTGCACAGTCTCTAGTCTCTGGTTTAAATAAAGCTGTTGACATTTGACTTTATCCATTAATCAAACACTGCTAAGGATTGTTTCCATAAGACTACTTCCACCTTTCAACCTTCATCAATATTGTCTATTTTGAAAATCACAATAAGTTTTGATTTCACCCCTGAAATTGCCATCTATGTATTTCAACATCCATTGGGCCAATAATACTGATGCCATTCTGACTCCCACCTCCCCACCTGTGACGGCTCTTTGACAGTTGTTCTAAATTCAGGGTGTTCGTCACCATCATTCAAACACCCCTCAGCAGGCGGCATCTGCATTGACATCTCACCCACATGTCTTTGGTGTCCCACTCTCTGTCCTTAGCCCTTAAGGCACTGAACCCCCAAAGGCTTTAATACACAGATGATTCAATATGATCTGAGTGCAGAAGGACGCAAGGGCTCCTAATGCTTCATGGAAATGTGACAGCACTTTGTGAAATCACGTTACCTTGGTGTGCAGATGCATTTCTGTGAAGAGTCGAGAGGCTCAGATTAATAGTTTTTTTTTGTAGTACATAGATTAGAATATAATTACTTTAGATTTTGGATAAAGTTCAAGTCTATAGCCATTCTACGGGCTCTGTGAAGCTGTGCTTGGGCTCAGCAGTTATATTAGCTAAATGCTAATTTCTTCTAACAATCACAATGTTAACATGTTTACCCTTACCAACGTAGTTTAGCTTGTTAGCATGCAGGTATTTGGTCAAAAACCAAGTGCTGACTTGATGCGCTAGATGAAAAGTCATGTGATCACCAAAGTCAGTACAATTTATCTGGAGTAAAAGATAAATGTCTGAACCAAATTTCATGGCCATCGATCAAATAGTTGATGAGATATTTCAGTCTGGATCAAATTGGTTGACTGAAGAAAAAAAATTTGCATATCACCTCAGTGTTGATGCACTTAAGTTAGTGTGTGCCAGTAACAAATGACACATCATTCAGAATCCAAATCAACTAAGGTTTCATAATTTTATTCTCATAAAAAGAAATGCATTTCTTAGTTTATAATAAATTAACAAAAATAAAAAATATCCAATAAATCTTTCAAGTTCCTTTGAACCGAATCCTGACATATTCAGGATGTGGAAATTAACCAAAGAAAATGTGCAGCCACATTCAGTATCACAGCTTACATGAAGACACTATACTGTATGTGCATGTACTGTAAATAAAAATAAAGCACTGCATACCATTTTACATTATACAGTAAAATAAAAAAGGTAAAATAAATTAATATAAAACCTTAAAAATAGGCCTCTGTATACAACATGACATTTAAGACATTAGTCTGAAATCAGTTGAAAAAAAAATAAGTTACGCCCCAAGCATTAATCAGGCTGCTCTAAACAGGGCAGTGCAACCATCTCACATCATCTTCACATCAGCCAAACATGAAATGAAACATTCCCCCCCCCCGGGAGGCAGCTGGACCAGCAGGCCAGAGTTGTTGCACAAAAGCTTGATAAAAACACCATGTCATGATAAAAAAAAAAAGGAAAAAAAAGCGCACTCTCAAATAACTTAAAGCTACTTGCTGAGGACAAACTGCATAACATGCTTATCAACACTGGTAGGAAAGCCAACTACTGTAAAGAGGGATAAAACTGATAATAAAGTCAGATGTGGAGTGAAAACAAACAAACAAAAAAATTCACTGAAAGGCATTTCATCCTCCGAAAGGATGTATTTCACTTAAGGAAGCATCAGTGATGGACCACAAACAAATCAATAAATTATTCTAGTGCAGGGTCAAATGTAGAGACTCCGTGAAAGCGAAACCCGGGAGGTTTGAACTAATAGATCACAACAGAAATGTGCATTGTGTGCAAATGCAATATTAGAAACAGAATGTGAAATTTAACATCTTTGTAAACTTGTGGCAGAGTGATCAAGTCAGGAACAAAACACAAACACACAAAATTACCTCTTAACACTGGACGTCTCTCTGGAACCATTCAGAAACTACTGATCCGTTAATGGACAAGCACTTTAAAACAGAAAGGTTAGTGTGTCTTCACAAGAATTCCTGGTGTTAAGATATGAGAGGCTTTAAGTTAATGATACTTGGCAAGTAGAGAGGGCATTCTGCCTATTTGGAGGTACTGTCCATTCTCTAGGGCAGGCAGTGTGCAGGACAGACTGGAAATGAGGGCAATGAGCCAAGTCGTGGCTGAAGTAACTCAAATAAGCACAATGTGCACGTAATCTTGAATCCATAACCTGTGTGTCAGCGTGTGTGTGTTTAAAATGCATTTAAAGCATCGCATGTGTCTTGTGTGTAACTGTACAATAAAAAGAAAGGTGAGGGCAAGTGTTCTTTCAATGGGAACATGAAGCTCATTAAAGCAAAATATGGTGAATTTATGCAGAGTGTGTGCAGCATTTGACTCTCTCCAGAGCGGTGGCGTGTGGACGTCCTGGCTCAGTCAGAGGCTATGACTCCCCTGTTATATAACCCTGCATGTGGCTTTGCCTGTGGAAAGGAAAGGTAGGGGGTGGGGGGCTTGCTGCCCTGAAGCCAGAGCCTTCTCTGAAATGCATCATGTGAACACAGTGACTAAAACCCTGCAGTAGTGAACACATGCACTTGTGAGTCAGAGATGCTTTCAGGCAGAGAGTGGCTGTTTGTGTTTGCGCATGTGTGAGGAAGCTCTGTGTGCTGAACATGCGCAAAAGGTCTGTCTGAGGGGTACCATGTGACAAACTTAACCGTGTGTGTGGTCCAGCGCTACAGTGTTTCAAAAGCTAGTGTTGGTCGTCGTGGTCACAGGGCGATGCCGTTGGTCCTGCGCTCAGGAAAGCAGAAGAGTGAGTTTGAGGGGTCGTCACAGTCGTCGGGCAGCCCAGTGTCTGCTGCCGCCAGTGGATTCCTGCTAATGACCAAGTTCAGGCTGTCTCCTGCCTCCATAATTAGGGGCACAGTTAGACAACAGTCCAAGTCCCTGGTCCTGACACGGTTCACCTGAAAGATTGCAAATGAATGAAATCATTCAACAAGCTACTGCATTCACAGTTCTTTGAAGGAATTGTTTTACATTTTGGGAAATTTGCTTATTGCTTTGAGTTTCATTTATTGGAAAAACATAGCGATGAAAAACATTACCAGCTGTGGGCCAGATTCATTTGAGAAAATGCAATAAAATAAAAATATAAGACAGAAACAATAAAAGTAACAAGCCTGGCCAAAAAAACCAAAGAAAAAACCCCACCTACACATAAAAGGGCTGACACTTTAAAAAGTCAATACTTCATAGAAAAAGAACATTTGTCAGAACAGCAAGAACCCCTGCGCCAAATTTTAAAAGTGTGCAGCAACCGGTTACACAGACTTTGACTGGTAAGAGACTGTTGTTGTAACAAACGTTCTGTTAAGGGATTACAGTTTTGATTATTACATTTATATATTTGTATAAATGTTTGAACTGCTAAAAGGAGGGACCATTTCCATCTTCGTTCAAGATCAAGTCTAGGTGGGAACTAAACGGCTGCAGCTTCATATTTAGCATACAGACATGAGAAAGCAGAAAGCCACTTCCCAATTTGTCTTTAAATGTAACTTTGTTGACACAAACATTACCTGAAGAATTCGGTCAAAAGGTCTTAACCCTGCCTGGTCAGCAGGGCCATCCGGGCGGATCATGTTGACATAAACTCCTTTCTCCAGGAGCCCGTCGGATACACTGAAACCAAAGTCATGGCTCTCATGGTCCTTCCTCATAGTCACCTGCAAAAAAACAAGAGACCTTAGAGTTGCACAGAGATTGTACAGCACACGGTCTTATCTATCTAGGAGGTTTTACAAAGCAAAAGCTTTGACACTGTTCAAAAATATAGTCCAGCAATTCAGTGTTGTACTTTTCATTAATTTGGTGGACTCGTAAGTGACAAATGCATTTTTTTGGCTACCAGCACCTCTAAAGCTCACCAACATGTCTTCTTCTCGTGCAGTGGCTTCCTAGAATAGATGCTAAGCTAACCAGCTACAGCTTCATATTGAACAGACTTTTGGAAGGAAAGTGAATGCATTTCCCTAAATGTCAAACTATTCTTTTATTTTAGTGGCCAGATGAAAACAAGGGACACGATAAATCTGTGATAATCTTTAACAGTGTACCAGGTTTTGCATCTCATCTCGCAAACCTTTACATCCAAATCCTTACTTCACAATTGTAGTAATTTTTGCACAACACTGTACAGGTGACTGTAAGTGGCTCTTTCATCGTGTCCATTGTCCTGCCTACGTATATACTAAACAGTTAAAGTTTTCCCAGCCACATGCCTCGGTGTGATTTGTTTCTCTCCGGATTTAGACCTACACAAGAAGGTCAGCAGGTTCAACCATAACAAGAAACAGCTTTAATGTGGGACCTGAGGTGACTTTCCATGACATCATGTAAGATGTGTAAACTCAAAACATTTTCAATTTCCACATTGCAGCTCCGTTACTGCCCCCGTTCCAGCCCAGTCGGTCACTCGGTCAAACATAGCACTGTGAGATGACACCAAACAAGACGTCTCAGGGCGTACAGAGGCTAGGGTGCAGCTGACTGATCAATCAATGCTCACATTTTGCCTAAATGTTTTAGTAACACTTTAAGACTACAGCCTGCAGTGGAATTATATAGTACATAATGGCCATTAATAAAGTACTTATTGGGTGTGCTGGTACAAGGGGTGAGGAAAAGAGGCTATGCAATAAGGGAATAAAAACTGTGTTTAAGAGGTAAGCATATATATATTTTTTTAAATTACTGAGCAATATATAACAGGGTACAGTAATACTGTTTAGGGAAAATTAGCAAAATGGGATTAAAATATAAACATAATTTGGCAAATTGTAAGGCAAAACCTTTTTTAATGTGTACTACTTCAATCTGTTTATATGTTTTAATATAGTTTTTCACACTATAATTGTAGCTGTGGATCAAAACATAAGTCTGGGACATTTATGCACCTTCATAGCTATAAAATATGTATATGTTTTTTAAATGAAAATTCTGGGGAACAGTAGTGTAGTTTTGGGCAACATGTGAATTTTTGTTGTTTGTTTTGAAAATGATTCAGACTCTAATTTTTCTACATTTCTAAAGTCATTCCCGAAGAGAGCTACCTTGTGCAGTGCCAGGGCGGTAGGGGACAAAATATCTGAGGGGTCCCCTTTGCCCCGGGATGGTACGTCTCTGGCTCCAGATGACATGTTCAGGTTGCTTTTGTTCTTAGACTCGCCATGGATTCCCTCCCTCTTAATGGGACTAATTTCAGACTGAAACACTGAGTCCTCGTTGTTCTTGGTCTCCTCTAGGTACAGACTAAGAGCGCTACCTGTCATGGATGCCTGAAAGAGCACAAAATCAGAAAGGAGATCATTAGCATCATATGTTGGGATAAGAAAAACAAAGGCTACCATATGAACAGAAACGTATAACCTCTCATGAAGTGTACACAGAGCCTGATTAGAGGCCAAGGCATTGCGCAAGAGCCTTCCTCGGTCAGTATGGCAGCAGGTGCCCAGTCTGTCTTGTCAGATTTAATAACAGATTACACACTCTGGCGATTATCATAATGCTTCATCTGGCATGGTCATTTAGGCTGACACCAGTCTATGAATACATGAGTAGGACAAAGCAGATGGAGGAGAGGAAACAGGAGAGGGAGGGGGGGGGGGGGGGGGGGTGACAGGCAGGCATACCTCCAGCTCCCTGAGAATCTCCGACTGGCCGCAGGTTTCGAGGTCCTGCAGAGCCCGGGACCAGAAGCTGTCCTCCTGGTTCAGGGTGCCATGGCAACGAGGGGGGCTGGCGTATCTATGACAATGCAGGAACCAGAACATGAGAGCAGCCCTGCAGTCTCGGAGGCCGGTGCCGCTTACAAAAAGCAGCATGGGAAATGCAGTTTTGGGGCTGCGTGCTGGAGAATCCCTTTGAAAAACTCTCAGGACCATATTGAGGGTTTACTATAAATTCTTTTATTTGTGGCAGCTCAAACGCTGAATCGTCCGCTAGATTAGATAAAGCCTTTAAAATAGTTCACTGTCACAAAAGTAACGTCACCCACAAAAAAAAAAAAAAAAAAAAAAAAAAAGGAAGCAGAAAATTGAAAGCATGTGACACAAAAGTTCAGGGGGGGAAAAAAAAAAGAAGCGTGAAGAGACATAAGGCTGATGTATCCTTGGGAGCTTTAGGTGCTTTCTGAGGAAATCTTTTTTTTCGTGTAGACAAAAGGGTGACAGAAAAAAGATGCATCTATGTGAAACACCAAAGAGCTGGTGGGCAGTTAGTAAAGCAGATGAGAGAGAGAATACCTGAGAAAGAAAGAAGAGGACAGTTTGGAAAAGCACAAAACATGAAAGCATTCAACACACAATGCCTTTGTCGATGAACCCAAAGAGGGGTAAAAGAAAATACACACAAGCTGGTATTTATTCAGTGGTGGAAAAGTACTCAGATCCGTTACTTAAGTAAAAGCACCAATGCAACAATGAGTAAGCAACATTCTGCCTTTGTGCCTGGTTTCTGTTCTGTTTGTTGTAAGGCTCCCTTCCAAGAGGGTCGCAAGATAAGTCTGAGGAGTCATGGGATGTTAAATGGGGCAAGATAGAAGACAGACTTCTCTCTTTTTTGTGAAATATTGGATTGTTGTACCTCTTTCTGCCCAGCACTTACTTAAAAGAAACAATGTAAGAAATTTAGCGAAGAAATGTCACACTGCTAACAACTTATAGCCATCTGAAACATAAGTGGTTCAATTTCAGCAATGCTTTTTTTTGGTCAAGGGTCACAAGCCAAGCAGGTTGGGAACGTTTAATCTTTGACACTGTATTTAATTTTATAAGCCTATCATGTGTTTATTTATCTGTAAAATAACTAGTAACTATACAACTGAATGTATTGGAGTAAAAATTACAATATTTCTCTCATACCTCAAAAATGTACCAAATAAATGTACTTTCCACTACTGTTTGTACACAAAAAATGAAATCAAATAATCTCTGTACTGTGAAATCAATAACACTTAAAGCTGCGCTGACATGAAACAAGATGTTGACAGGAGGGAAACTGCATTTACCCAGGTAGGTTGTCCCATTCATCCTCAGTGAATCTCCCATCATACAGCGCCGAGTGGTGGACTAGGCCTGCAGAGCTGGAACTGGTTTGGCTCCTGTGCTTTGTACGTCGCCACTCATTGGGATTAAGCAATATATCGGATGCTTTATGAAGATATGTCCCTGAAAAAACCCAAGAAAATCCACTGACCTCATTAAACGCAAGGAAAGGAAGTGGGTAATTTTTAGACAGCAAGCGTACTGTGGACCTCACCTTGGCTACCATAGCCTGCGTCAAACCCTGAGCTATCCCAAGAGCTCATTGCAGAGTCTATACTGGGCACAGTGGCAGAGTAGACCTCTGAGTGTTTACTGGTCTTCTGGGAGTCTGTCAGTTCATCTTCTGTGTCACTTAAAAACGCAGGTTCTCGGTCCCGAAGCTGCCGGCCATCAGACTCTGGGACCAAACAGTGAGTCAAATCGGCATTAAACACGAATGAAATGCACTTCCTGTCATTTTCAAAATGCAAAAATAAAACATTGCATTACCACAACTGCTTTTAAGCCTCAGAAAAGTCTAAAACCAACGCTTTTTAAAGCAGATTGAAACTCACTTGTTTCTTAATTTTACAACCATATTTTTGTGGTTTTCATTTGTTTATATTGTCCTCTTTTTCTCCCTGTGTAGCTTTTTTCTTCTCCTGAAGTGTTTTGTAACTTTTTGATTAAGTGCTATCTAGATAAAGTTTGCTTTATTGCTATGAGATCAAGAGGGGAACAGCGTGCAGTCTGAACGAAACTGAACATTGGCTCAATTGGGCGGTTCTTTCCACAGGAGAACTGACAAGCTGATTAAAGGAAGTGACTGAAGGGGGGGGAACACAAACAAACATTTGGAGAAAAAAAAAAGTCTCCTGAATGCTAATGTTGTATCATAATGCAACCCTGTTATGAATCCATCTGTCCTTATTAAAAAACAAAACAAAAAACTAACATACGGTCGGCTTGCTTTTTGATCTTGAGGGTGACGGACTCCCCGGCCATCTGCAGGAGATGGATGGCCTCGCTCAATGGCTTTCCTTTCAGACTGACCCCATTGATGGCCAAGACTCGGTCCCCTATGTGGATGGCCCCGGTTCTGCAGGGTTAGGAGAGCAGAGGAGACACAGATACGAGAGTATACCAGACAGTACCAGCAGGCGGGCCAGGAAACATGTCAGGCTGCCAGTGCGCCGACTGAGACAGAAACAAAGAGGCTACTTGTTACAGAAAAAGACGAGACAGCCATTGTTTATTGTCTTGTTCATTTAAAAAAATAAAAAATAAAAAATTCCAAAAGGGCCCACTACAGATTTGACTTGCCTCAGCCTAATGCAAGTACCATCTCCTCAAATAATTATCTTGACACCCGGGTTGTCATTCCTCACCCTCTGCTCTCCTCTCACCTTTCTGCCAGGCCTTTTTTGGTGAGGCCAGAAATGACGATGGGGTCAAAGGGCTCCTCTGTGCCAGAAATCGTGATGCCCAGTGGTCCGTTATATCTCTTCAGCTCAACTGTGTAGATTATAGAGCCGGACATCTCCAACTCATCTACAGTACACAGGGGAAACGGACACCATGCACTCGAGATCATTTAGAAGTAAACTCTGTGACGATAGAACTTTATGATAAAATATGTAAAACTATTTGTGCAAATGGACAATTAATAACTGGTTACTTTTCACAACCGCGCATACAGAGGATCTATTTCTTTGCTGTTCTTAAGGGAATTAATGTACCAATGTTGTCCTCATCTTTCTGGATTCGAAGTTTAACCATGTCCTCGGCCTGCTGCAGGACGTGCATGGCGTCCTCCATGGTGCAGTTCTCCAGACGCACGCTGTCTATGGCCAGCAGCCTGTCTCCAGGCTCTAGAGTGCCTGTTCTACCGGACACAAGAGCAAGAGGATCACAATTATTAACTGGGACCAGGGAGCTGCTCCCACTGACTCAGTATGAGAATCCTATTAGCCCAGTGCCTCAGTGGGATCCTTGAGGGTGACTGTAACCTCACCCTCAACCTTATCAACATGAGCCCTTCTGAAATGTAGCTGCTCTGCCCTACTGATCCAGTTTTGTTAACCCAATCCAATTAGGCTTGTATTACATACATGTATTACGTGGGTTTACAAAATCATTTTATTTTGTTTATGAATAATCCCACCCAAGCCTCGAAAACCTAGTTCACCCTGCACTGTACAGTGTAGAGAAATAATGTCTCTAATGTGACCTGCGCTAGAACTGACAGACTTAAATTGTTTTTTGTATTTACACAAGATTGATATGACTTAGTGCCATGAGAGCTGGAACAATAAAATGTTCAGCAGTGACATTATTAGCTCTATCTGATAAAACAAAACATACCTGTGGGCTATGCTTCCTTTTCTGATGTCAGAGATGATCAGGGGCTTGCCAGGTTTCTTACTTGCTGGTGTAAGAGAAAAACAAAAGTGAAAAGCTATTTTTATTTGAGGATGCACGATATGAGGATACAACTGTATTCAACATTTTAAAAATCACTCAGCTTCCTCTTATTGTTTTACTAATCAATCTTGGCTTCCTGTTTATGTTTTTCAGAGCTAGTTAGAGCAGAAAGGACGATGATGAATGCTGGCACAGGCCAATATTATTCAGCGATAATGAGGTATGTGCCCTCATGGTTTTGCAAGCCTGAGTTTTATGGATCACAGAACATTGATTCAAAGGAGAGTTACTGTGTGCAAGGCAGTGAAGTATTATTGAGCAACACTGCCCCCTGCTGTAGTTCTTGTCTCTAACAAACTCACCGCTGATGGTGATGCCCAGCTCCACTCCTCGCCTCTTAGGTAGTTTAACGTGGAAGGTGCCACTGCTCGGAACCACCGACTCTAATTGGGATTTAAAGTAAATATAAATGTAAGCAGGAAGGCACAAATACACAAGATCTCACAATAAGAAATGATCTTCACAGTGTGATACCTGCAACATCAAACTCAATCTCCACTGTGACCTTATTGGCCAGAGCGGAGTCTCTGAGCAGCTGATGGGCTTCCTCCAAAGTGCCATCTTCAGTCGGGATTCCATTAATGGACAACAGCCTGTCCCCAACCTGCAGCAGCCCACACCTTTACAAACAACACCACATACACAAAAAGCATTTCAGTGGAAAGACAAATGATTAACACAGTATGTTGATTTTTGCCACTCCAATCAATCTGTTGTTTCCATGAAAAATTACCATCACAAGGTATGCTTTATTAATTCAGGAGCTCTCATTAAAAATCAAGATCTTTCATAAGTGAGACATGGGAACAAACTACATATTTACAATTGGTTGCCACTTAATTAGGTAAACCTAGATAAAACTAACAGTCTAATGCAATAGTCCTGTAATAAATCTTACATTCATGAAGGTTATAAAGGTTCAAAATATTTTAAGGAGGTGTTGATTAAATTTTAAGATCAGTTTGGAGGCCGCAGTTTGTGGTGCTATTGAACGGTGTTGCGTTATAAAGAGAGGTGTTTCGGTTACTTAGCCCATACCATCGTTGATATAAATGGAGTGGACAAAATAAAGCAAACACCTGTCGGGGTTGAAAGTTCAGCCACACACACTAATTGAAAAAGTTACAAATATCAGCAAGTAGAACTTTAAAGTCCTCAGAGGAATGAGTGTAACTAACTTCTTATTTGATCTATTAACTTTCTGTTGAACAACAAATCGATTAATCTGCTAATGGTTTCAGTATAGCCACAATAGTATCAGCAAAGCTGGAGTTCTGCGCTAAGTGAACTGATTCTGATGAGTGACACATTCTGCCTGTGTGGCACCAAGTCACACAGGCTAAATGCTGTTTAAAATGCCATCTATAAAATGATATAGCCCCTAGGCTTGACACAAACACACTGACCTTACTTGAAAAATCACCTCAGCAAGCAAGCGCGCACACAGAAAAAAAAAAAGGAAAAAATACACATCACACATTTAATCAGACCTCTAATTGCAAGGGCAAACACCGAAGCACTGTCAACTGATATTAATTCACTAACCACCGCTGCTCATTAACCTTGTGTGGAGGCTGAGACACCAACATCACAGTCGGATGCTGTATTTGAGTCACTCCTGTCCAACTGCTGCTGGACTAATCGTGTTACAAGACCCAGGGGAGATGGCCCTGCACTGTCGACACAGACACCATCATTAATCTTGCAAGACAGGGACACATACAACACACTGGCCCGATTGGAGCTGTGTTTTAATTGGTCTGCAAAACGTAGACTTGATCAATAGGCTACTACATACCAAAATAGGGGGCTTGCCACAATTAAAAACAAACACTGGCTGCATCAATGCCTCATGCATAATGTATCATATGTTCTACCAGAGATGACTGCTCCTTTAAATTAAGTCAGAGACACTCAAGAATAGCTGAGAAAATCTGTTGACCTCATGACATTTTGGGCTGTGACCTCACTCACTAGGGAAATAAACCATTACCACAGCAAGTGTTGACAAGCACTAAGACCTTTTTGGCTTGTGACTCTAAAACAAAGCAATAACTACTTGACTGTATTGTTAAGTTATATAGTATGTCTACCAGTTGTGACAAGTTCAACCAAAACCTTTTTTCCTTATTTGAATAACTTTTAAAGATGTAGAAAAAACAAGATAAGTCTTCAATGCCAGCGCCTTTGCTTTGAGATAATGCCAAAGTTATCATGCTAACAATGGTAATGTTGCTGCTGATGTTTAGCAGGTATCATGTTTACCATGTTCACTATCAAAGTTTTGTACGGTAGCATGCTAACATTGACAAATTAGCATTAAACACAAAGCTGAGGTTGACGGAAATGTCAGTTTCGAGGGTATTTGGCAATAAACCAGAGTACTGAACAAATTACAAATGTATTACAATTGATTCTGCGGTGGACATGAATGTGTGAAGCAAATTTCTTGAAAATCCATTCAAAAGTTGTTGAGACATGATACTCAAAACCAGACATTTCAATGTTGTGGTGGAGCTAGACAAAAAGTCAGGGGATCATTAGGATTCATCTTCTGCAGATCATGAATGTCCATACAAGCTTTCCCAGCAATCCAGCCAATAGTTGGTGGACCAACCACCTGACATTGCCATCCCTTGAGCCACGCCACTAGTGCTGCTAATAAAAAGTAAAGAATAGATGAAAGTCTGAAAAAAATAAAATTATACACACACACACACACACACACACACACTTTTTTTGACACTACCAACCATCAACCTCAGTACAATGGGTGCTAGGGCCTTCTCCTATGCTTCACTCAAACTCTGGAACTCTCTCCCCCCACACATACGTACAATGGACTCTATTACAAAACTTTAAAACTGCGCTCAAAACTCATCACTCTCACTCTTTTTTAACTAGCATACTCACTGTAATAATGTACAACACCGATTCTCATTTTGACTGTTGATGTTTTAAATTTTACCCCCCCCTTTTCGTTTTTTGCTATTTTTATGATGCTATGTACTTTTGCTTCTTGTTGTAAGGTGGCCTTGAATGCCATGAAAGGCACCATCAAATAAAATATATTATGATATTACAGTGTTTTTTTCCTGTATTTATTCATCTTGTGACCCTCAAATGTACCTTGGGACCCTGTCTGTGGGTCCCAGCCCCCAATTTGGGAACCACTGCAACAATGTAGTTGCAATGAGCTTGCCTTCAGTTGAAATAAATTGAAAAATTGAGATAGAAGGCTAAAATTAGCCTCCCCCCAACGTGGCTGCATGATTAGCACTGGGGCTGTCTAGTTCAAGGTGACTCCCTATATGATATTTGTTTACTCGTTAGGTGTCCCAGCGCGTTACCTCTCAGCTGGGCTGTCAGGCTCAATGAAGCGGATGACTGGGGGAGCGGAGAGGGTTTCTGTGGCAAAGACACCCCCCTGCAGCTGGATCCCAAAACCTGTGAGCGGATCCCCCCTCAGGACGACCTCACTTGTTTCCACATGAAAAACCTGCCCCCCTGGGCCCACAGAACTGGACGCCAGAGACACTGAGGGAAAGGAGAGGGAGAGAAAGGGACACAGAGATTTTAGTGGTGAAGTGGCACATAAATGGAGCAAGAGAGGGACTGTGGGAGACCAAAAAAATGGAGGGTAAGGGGAAGAGACATGCACCCACAGAGACGACATGGGAACAGAAAGGGAATGAGTCACTTAGAGTTTATGTCAGTCACGTTCACGTCAGTGATCAGTCAAATCTGTTCACACACTGAGGGGGCAAAAACCAGAGGGAAAGGTGTTTTCAACAGCACTGCAAAACATTTTTAAAGGGTCTGTTCACCTAAATAAAAAAGAAAAATCTGCATATTTGTCACCTCTTAACCTCTAATGGTATATATAGCCCTGCAGTAATTACACTGAACAAAATTATAAACGCAACACTTGTTTTTGCCCCCATTCATCATGAGCTGAACTCAAATATCTAAGACTTTCTCTATGTACACAAAATGTCTATTTCTCTCAAATATTGTTCACAAATCTGTCAAAATCTGTATTGTTAGCACTTCTCCTTCGCCGAGATAATCCATCCACCTCACAGCTGTGCCATATCAAGATGCTGATCAGACAGCATGGGTATTGCACAGGTGTGCCTTAGGTTGGCCACAAAAAAAAGGCCACTCAAAAGTGTGTAGTTTTGCTGTATTGGCGGGGGTCCGGAAACCAGTCAGTATCTGGTGCGACCACCATTTGCCTCACGGTCTTGGAGGTGAAGATGCTGGATGTGGAGGTCCTGGGCTGGTGTAGTTACACGTGGTCTGCAGTTGTGAGGCCGGTTGGATGTACTGCTAAGTTGTCTGAAACACCTTTGGAGACTTATGGTAGAGGAATGAACATTCAATTCATGGGCAACACCTCTGGTGGACATTCCTGCAGTCAGCATGCCAATTGCGCGCTCCCTCAAAACTTGCGCCATCTGTGGCACATTTTCGAGTGGCCTTTTATTGTGGCCAGCCTAGGGCACACCTGTGCAATACCCATGCTGTCTGATCGGCATCTTGATATGGCACACCTGTGAGGTGGATGGATTATCTCGGCAAAGGAGAAGTGCTCACTAACACAGATTGACAGATTTGTGAACAATGAGAGAAATAGGCCTTGTGTACATAAAGTCTTAGATCTTTGAGTTCAGCTCATGATGAATGGGGGCAAAAACAAAAGTGTTGCGTTTATAATTTTGTTCAGTATAGTTTTGCAGGTATTTGGTTGGTCAAAATATAAGAAACATTGAAATTTTCACCTGACGATGGTGATAGGTTATTAAAATGACTGATTCATCACCAAATTTCACGGCAGTCCATCCAATAGTTGAGATTACTAAACTCACAAATCTTGTTGCGTTTTCAAATAAACTAAACTTTCTACTAAACAAATAGTCCCTATAAAACTATGTCTGACAGTGATAGTGAGGTCTGTGGAGTATCACTACACACACCTATATACTATGTTTGCATAAATTTATTGTAGTATTTGGCTCTCAGAACTGTCTGGAAAGACATGTTCAAAGCTGTTCCATTCACCCCCATTGCATTACGTTAGAGGCAGATATCTTGTAGATTGTATAGTTGCCAGTTAATTAGGTAAACCTAACCAAACTTATGCAATCTAATACAGTCTTGCAATAAATACTGCCTTCATAAAGATTATAATTATTATTAGAGAGGAGTTGATTCGACTGTATGTTCATTTTGGAGGCTACAGTCTGTGATGCTGTTTGTTGCACTGCATTATACAGGTGTTCTGTTATTTAGCCCACCCTCACTGATAAATGGAGCAGACAAACCAATAGTCAGTATAACACAAATAAGCCCTCAAATACTAAATAATAATAAAGTTGAATCAACACCTCTCTAAAACAGGTTAAGAGACAGCATACCCGACCCTTTAAGGAGGAAAAAAAATAGGAAGACACAGGCGGTTTGTCATACGTGAGCTCTTGTGGTCCTTCTTCCTGTTCCTCTTCTTGCCAGTTGAGCTGCGAGGGCTGTTGGGAGCCATCGGAGGGATGGGGCAGGGCAGCGTGTTGCTACCCTGGCTGCTAAAGCCTGAGGTGGCTGTGGAGGAAGGGGAGAAGCCACCACTCACCAGAGCTGAAAGGAGACATAGCACTGCACGTATCAAAGGCTGGTAGAGTTAGAGCAAACCACATCAGCCATGGCATTTTATTCACATCCACGGCAGCAGCATACGCTTGTGGGAACATGCAACAAAAGAAAGAAATTTGGTAACAGTGTTAGAGTAAACCTCTTGGAAAAGATTTAACAAAAGTGCTGAGGAATAGGCTCCTGCTATGGTGTCTCGCCAGCAGCAGTGCTGTCACAAGTGATAACTTACATTTGCAGTGGTCCTGCTGGTTGTGTGGGTGGCTTGGGCTGCTCCATGTCTTGCCGTGGCTGGCATGTGGGGGATGGCAGTAGTTGCTGCTTTGGTCCCAGTGATGATGGTTGCTCTTCTGCACTTTTACTGCAGCAACACAGAGACAAACATTTGCATTAAGTAAACCAGGTCCACTCCTCTGATGTGCACTTTTCTAATTTTACCCATGAAATTACACTTTTATTTCCATGTCTAAATTTGTACCAGACCACACAGTGCCTGGGGGATAATTCACAGCAGAGTAATTGATACTTAATGTTTTCGTCATGGTACACCAGATTAAATCCTGTGGTTTTAATGTATTTTGAAGAGCATCTGAGAATCAGTTAGACACACGGAGCTGAATGGGAAGTGGTAAAGAAAAACAAATTCTTACTTTTACTAGTAAGCTTCCAAAAAGCTAAGTGCAAACTGGAGATCATTTTAAAAATTTAACTTTCAAAAGAGCCCAAAGGTGCAAAAACAGCCCGAATAAGTTGACCGCTGGGCATGATGTTGTTGTGTTCAGCAGGAAGCGATGCTGGCTGTTAGGAGGCATGTGGCTTGACCTTGATTAGGCACAGCTGAAAGCTTGATTGCTGATGATGCAGGGTGTCTGTTTCTGCATCTGACTGACAGACAGTTTGGTCTACATGTGCTTTAATCTAATCCTGTGTGATAATATTCCCGCCGCTTTGAACGAAATGGAGAGCACAGATTGTTGTTAATTCTGAAAGCCATCCTATCCCTCGTGTCAAAGCCTGTATAACACAGTGCATTCAGTCAAATAGCATCTGTGAAGCATTCAAAGGGAAACAACTGACCTCATGTATGACACACAACTCAATAATTTACTTTCCTTCACAGATTCGTGCAGCTAAAATTGTCACTGAGAGTAACATGTGACAGTGATTCTTGCTGCTTCATTTGCAGGGGTCTAATCTCTGACAGTTTGCTCACATGGATGGAGGATTTGCTGGAAACATGGATGTACGCTGTAGCGCCTGGGACGTTTGCCATATTCAGGCAACCTGGTTAAATCCCACTGTATGTAATCAGAATACACACAGGAGAACCTCTGGCCCTTTTCAGAGAGAACCAAGTTCTATCAGACTCAATCAAACCTGTAAAGCTTTGGCTCTCGCTGCTTATGCTAAGCTCACCTAGGGGAAGCTCTCCCAGAAATGGTGTTTTCAATCTACGCTGTTAGAAAGAAACATTAACTCCTAATCTCTAAGTGGCCATATCAGTCTTATTAAATCCCCAGAGGAGATTAGAAAAATTGCATCTTATAATCACGCTTTATCCCGGGGGGGAGGAGAAGTGCAGCAGCTGTAAAAAATATAGTTTTATCACAACGTCATGGCACCTTATTCAAGAAGTGACTCATTATTAGTTAGAAATTTCAGAAGACACATGCCTGTAATTTCACAGAGAAGTGATACCTGTGTTGCACTTTCAGTTGAGACATTTCAATGGTCAACAGGAGTCAAAGCAGGTCAAATATTGCACTGAGTAGTCTTGGGAAGCATTCATTTGTAGGACTTCTTCAGAGGATTTAATAACAAATCAGTAAATAAAGATAAAAGATAGATGGAGCTGGAGACTGGACCGGACAAAAATGGACCACAGACATGGGAAAATTGTAGAAGAAAGGATTCAGCAACCACCAGAGAAGATTAAACTCCAGCTTATTTCCATTTGTCATGTTCTCTGATTCGTCCCATGCTCACATGTTAAGGAGCTCCTGCAGCAGCTGACCTAGAAATAAGTCTGCAGAACACCGCGTGAACATGATCTCTGACAGAGAAAGTGTGTGCAAGTGAGTCGCTTGTTGGTATGCATAAGAGGCCGAGTGTGTACCCTAAGGCAGAGGGATTGTGGCCGGCAGCATGTGCACACATGCACGCACGCACGCACGCACACACACACACACATGCTGATTCCCAGCACATGGAAGAAGGCAGCTTTGACGCTGCCAAGCTCTTTACAGCTGTAGGTAAAATTGCTAAGAACAGAGCATTCACAACATGTACATATTGTGAGGACTATGTGTTGAATTCCAGCCTGTGTACTGTATATTCTCCACAATGTACACACAGAACTACCCCACAATATTTATATATAGTGCTGAAACAATGAGCTTCTGAATCCTTTGCATTGCCCTACACAATTGCATTTTTGCTCTCAAGTGTGTATAAAATTTAATTTTAGTTTGCCATAAAATTGTGATATATGTTCAGATTTTTTATATAGGCTATGGAAAAAGTGCATAGCCCACCTGCACATTGGACCAATAGAAACATATTTTAATACCACATCAACAGTGTCAAAATACTTCATTACAAGTAAAAGTACTGCATACAAAATCCTACTCAAGCAAAAGTATAGAAGTATTATAAGTTAAATACACTTTAAAGTATCAAGAGTAAAAGTACTTATTCTGTGGTAAATGTCTCCTTGGACTGATATAATGTTATATACAGGAGCCTCCAAAGGGTCACAAGACAAACCAAAGGGGTCATGAGATGATTCATAGGAAAAAAACAACAAAGATCTGCTACACAAGTATTCATTTTTACAACTTCTCGAATATTTGCTTTTGTGTGAAAGATTGGACAATGTGACCTCTTTTGGCTTCAAACTGTTATTTATGAATGCTTGTGAGAAGTTTAAAGGTGAAACGTCTCTTTGGTGGAACTGCTAACAACTGATGAGCCATCTGAAATGTGACAAGGGGCCCAGACCAGACAGTTGTTTTGTAAAGGGTACAGGCCTAAAGGTCGGAAACCACTGGTTCTGGTTTAATCTTTAATGATGTGTTGTATTTTAAAAGCTTATCACGTCAGGGCTGGTGCAACTGATCGATGTAATCGATTACGGAAATTATTTCTTTGCCCCACACTGAGGCAAAAATGCATTTGCCTTTGATTATCTTACTGCACATCACTCCAGAGATTAAATAAATCCATGTCAGAACCATTTTAAGTTTTAAGTCAAGTACTTAGTAGTAAAAATACTGATTCTCTAGTTGAGGGAAAGGGTTGACATAAAGTGATTAAATTAATCTGTGTCACAGCAGTCCTTTTGAATTTGAGGTTCAGTATTTTTCTGATTAGGCATCTTTTAAAATACACTACTATTATCATTATTCTCTCTTTTTCATGATGAGGATTGAATAGAAACTTGAATATTATGGTATATCTTACCTTATATTAGGTATTAAAGGTTTTGACATTTTTTTTAAATTTATTTTTTAATAACTGTTGTTGTTAATGAATATATTATTCATGTAATATATAGCATCATATGTGACTAGTAACTAGATACTTTACAGTGGAGTAAAATTTAACATAAAATGGGGATACTAAAGTAATGTACCCAAAAAAAAATATTATTTTTACGCTTACTCCAATCATTATTGTTATTATTATCATTATTATTAATGCACACTAGATTTTTAATAATATATAATAAATAAAACCTTTAAATCCTTTCATAGTTTATCCACAGAAAATTAATCTGTATATATTTATATACACATGATATATACTGTAGATGGATTAATTGTTTAAATGCCAAACATGCACTGATTCCAGCTTCTCAAATGTGAAGATTTGCTGTTTTCTCTGTTGTATGTATTGTAAGTTGGATAACTTTGGGTTTGTGATGGTGACAGGCAATTAGATAACCTCGCTTGGGCTCTGTGCACTTGTAATGGCTATTTCACATCATTTTCTGACATGAAAATATAATTTCCTAATTCGCTGCGGATTCCCACATCTGTCTGATTTCTTTTTCTGTTGCAATGTCTCACAGAGATTTGTCATACCGGTGTCTTGGGGCCTGACAGGAAGTCTGCTCTGACTGGCTGGGAGAATCTCCAGTTTTACAACATCAGAGGTGCTGGAAAGTAGCTGCGTGGCCTCCATCAGGGAGCAGTGCTCTGTGCCAGTCCCATCTATAGATAGGAGGATGTCACCTGCATGCAGCGCTCCACACCTGAGAGAGTGAGACAGAGGCACATTGTGTCAGGAAGGCTTTTGTTTGATTGGAAAGTATCTGTGGAGTGGTGTAAAGTAAGGGGTTGGTTTCACCTTTCCACCACACTGGCTGCCTTTATCTTGTCAATAATAATAACTTGTTTACTCCTGTATATTGTTGTGGTGAGGCTGATCCCCAGGCTGGCCGAGAGACCTTTCACTATCTCCACCAGCAGAGGGCCTGAGGCTTGCTGCACAGCCTCTGAAACAGATAATACACAGAGATATAATGGAGGCATGAAAAGCCAAAAATACAATATACAGTATGTCTGGTACAATCTTAACCAACAGTGAAAAGACCCCAAGGAGGTCACAGATTTACATTGTTAACTAGCTCAAACTAAAAAAATCAGGTTTGCTTTTTACAGTTCTAAGATACATTTGTGCTCTAATTTTGACAGCTCTGACTGGTTCAGTAAGAAGGCAGGAGGTCTGAATCCTAAACTCCCACATGCAGAGAGAGGTAATGTGTGTCAACTGTCCTTGGTGACCTGCCCTATTTTGCACAGAGCAGCACAGAGTTTGTGATCTTAGTGAGAATTAGCCACCATGACCAAATGGAGGTTATAATCTGTGGTGAGTTACGGTCCTCAGTGGCGTATTTTACTACTTTTTGACCCAGTGTTGAGGATATTTTAAACTCAAAATAGATTTTATTTGCTCTGCACACTCACAGTCAGACTGACATGTGCTTGGGGTTATTTCTACATTCATTCAAAATTAACTGAAGAAACATTATTAACCCTGTATTGCCAAAGCTGATAATACTGATATGTGCTGTTTTCTGTCCTAGATTCCATCAACGATTCACTTAAAGAAGCATTTAACTGACATTCAGTTTAGTAGTCACAAGGAGTATAACTCAGGCTGTGAAAACAGTTCTTTAATGTTTGCTGTGGCTCTGGAGAAGCATTTCATTTTTTGCAAGTCTGAGAAAATAACCCAGATGATGTCATAGTGATGTCATCAGGGTTATCTTGTTCCTGGGCATGGCGACCACACATTTATAACAGAAAGTCGACATCACAAACTGACAGGGCTGGACTGAGACAAAAAATTGGCCCTGGCATTCTTGGCCCAGGTGGCCCATCAAAATCGGTCGGACACCCCTCACCAATATACCATGTAATATACCATAAACCATGGCCCTGTCACAGTCACTTTGTCACTTTGCTCCACTGTCACATGCCTCCTCCTCTGCCTGGCAGTGGCCACTCTCTCCTTTACTCCTTCAAGTAGGCTACCTGTGCACTAGTCTACATCGGGTAGTAGGCCTACTGCAGAGGATGTTATTGGTTATTTTCGCACATTTGGCGGCAACCTTCTGAAGACTATTTTTTGGCCCACAATGCAAGAAACAGAGGCCACAGGGAGGAGGGGGTGGGGGCCAGTAAGAGATGTGATTGGGCTAGCCCAGTGTCAGTATAGAAAATTACCCAATAGGCAGTTGTCCCTGCTCTATGGCCCGGTCGTTGGCCCATTTTTAAACAGTTAAAGAGGTGGTATTATACTTTTGCCTTTTTCTCCCTCCTTTATTGAGTTATATATCTTTTTTGTGCATGTAATAGGTTTGCAAAGTGAAAAAGCCCAAAGTCCACCCCAAAGGGAGTTCCCATCTCCCACAGAAAACTCTGCTCTGAACTGCCTGTTTGTAGTCCAGCCGTTTCCCTTTCATCCCTGTGATGACACAGGGATAAAAGCAAAATGCGTGTCATATAATGCTCGCCAAGCCGCTAGTCCGACAGGCCCTCAAAAACACTGGTGGAAAAACACTGAGCTGCAGCACACACCTCTCATCTCCCTTCCAAACACTAGTTACCCTCCAGGCAGTCAATGGACACAAAGTTATTACTGTGATGTAGAGACAGAGCTCAGTTAAAACGTTACGGATGAAAGATACTTTTGTTACAGATTAATAACTCACCACTCTGAAACTCTTGCTCCAGGCCATGTTGCTAAGCTGGTAAGGGGAAATGCTGAACCAAAGCCATGTTTACCGGCTTCTCACTGACCCGCCCTTCTCTGCTTCTGATTGGCTAGTAGTCCTTAACTATGAACTGCTCATGTGCAACTCCTAACAAAGATCATGTAGAGGCCAGATGTATCACTCCATAGCTAAAACGAAGCCTTCAACACAGGGTGAAAAGAGGAGCTGCAGCAATGTGCTGTATGACAAAAATATGTTGTTTTTTGAAAATTAAACCATGTAAACCTGTTCTGGTACAACCCCTAAATAAGATTATGAACCTGAAACTAGTCCACCCCTGCAAACTGGAGATGTGAGTTTGAAAGACAGTGTTCACCAGGCTGAGAAGTTCGAATAAAAAGACACTGATAGGTTGCATTATGGGAGATGTAGGATCACGTTTTTGAAGTCAGGACATCTTGGCCTCTGCTGCTTTGATTCTCACCATTCTATTGGTAATCTGTCTCTTGTGAATCCCTCAACTTTGTAGTAGTGCAAAACTAAATCACTGGAGTGCCACTTGGATAGACCGCTTAGAAAGTTTGTCACCTTGTCCCCTTAAGTATCTAGCATCATCAGGGATTCTGGTAATACCATAAAATGTCTAACCTTGTTTTATTGAGGTCATGTTAAAAAAATCCTTGTTAACAAAGCTAAGTGTGTCCCTGAAAGTTGTCCAGGGTGGCATACTCTGCCTGAACAATAAAGTCAAGTAATGTAATGACTCTGCTCTAATTCAGGGGAGGAGAGAGACCCACACATTATGATAAAACAGCGAATATCACCCATCTACCCTGTCCCTGTTGAGGTGTGCTCTCGGGCCTGTGTGACTCTCATGGTGGCGTCTCCAGCACAGACAGTCACTCACATCTGCACAGCCAAACGGCCACATTATTTACCCTCAGAGCAACGCTGCCCTACCATGCCTCCACATATTCCCTGCGTGTGTGTGTGTGTGTGTGCTCACCCATGACAGAGACGTCATACTCAATCAAGAACAGAGCTTCCTGGCTGCTCTGCATCAGCATGGTCAGAGCGTCAGCGTGCTTCTCTCTGTTTAAAGGCATACCGTCTATGCTCAATACTCGATCTCCGGCCTTCAAAGTTCCCTCTCTGGAGAAACACAGAAGAGAGAGAGAGGAAATAAAAAATCCAACATAGGCGACCAGCACAAGATGCTCACACAAGCGTTTATGCACCGGTCACAGTAAATCATTAAACAGTTCCACATGAGTTTTCCCTCTCAGGAGAGATGAAGGATAAACGAGATAAACGGCCATAAAGTCTTTGATGGCAAATTACGTTTGCTCCGCTGTTTTGGTGCTCTCTGATTTCATGGGGAAAAGTGCAATGTTGCACTAGCCTCGAGATGAGCTGTGCCCTTTCTGCTTTGAAGAGAACGCTATATGTGTCAGAGCCACAATTTCATGCAGTGGCCTGAGCACAGACTGATGCAAAAGAAATAACATGCACATGAAAACAATGTGGATTTAAAATCATTCAGCAGCGTAATTCTTAAGAATCTAATTCCATATGGGTAATAGATAAATATTTTTAGTGTGGAGGCACTAAGGCAATTAGTAAAGCACATATCCGTTGAGCCATAAAAGCACAAACTATTGAACCACGCATGCATGCACGCACGCACACATATAATATTTGAATAGGCCCATTCTTGCACACTGAAGACATAAGACACATACCAGAGACATAAATAGCAACACTTGTATATACACAAACACTGCCTCATCTATCCATGTCCTCACCTGTCGGCCGGACCGCCTGGCCTGACATATGTAACCACCAGAGGACGAGACCTGCGCCAGTCCTCGTGGAAGCCTCCTAAAGAAATAAAACGCATAGAATAAATCAGTGCAAAAAGCTAAAGCTAATAATTTCTTACTGAAGGATTTACACAAAAACATCCCGTCCACCTACCTCTCATGACAAACCCAAAGCTGTTTCCCTCCTTGTGTAAACACACATCTATGGTTTTGGTTATGACTCCTGAGGGGTTCTGGACTAAGATTAGAGAGGAAAGGACAGAAAAGTGTTACTACAATCCTTTAAGGCTAAACATAAAATAAATTGTTGCAATGTAAAAAGCTTTCACAATAGTTCGATATATGTTTAATTAATCTCAGTGGGGAAATTCATTCTCATTGACCCATACTAATGATTTAAGAGAAGTGAGCAGCTGCAGCACAGCGCCCGGGGACCTTGACCAAGGAAACATAATTATATCATCAATATTGATTTGGTGATTAGAATTTTGGAAGAGTCTACCGTAGATGTTGAGGTTAAATAAGCAGTTGGTTAGTCTAGGTTATAACTGTTTTTTCAACACAATTTTAATACTTCATTGTGAAGATGGAATGCTTTACTTTTCAACCACATCTTGCTCAGTTTAAACCTAGACATCTAGAAATATTTTCACCTGCAATTCAACAAATCAGTCCTTGCTGGGAGATGAATTTTTATTCCTAAAAATACATGTATTTTGCTGTGAGAGGAACACCCGAAGAATAGAAAAAAACAGTGTAACATTGTACATAGAAGTAAGGGATTATGAGATGCTTAAATTTGAAGATTTAGTTTTACCACTTGGAGCCTCAACTGATAATCTTGTTTCCATTAACTGTGGAATTTTAAAATAATTTTATTTTTAAGAGCACCCCATTGAGATTCAATGGATGCTCTGATTTATGGATTCCATTTACACAAATCTATCTAAAAGTTAACAGTTAATAAAGAAGAAAATACAAGTTAGATGATTACCTTACACCATCTTAACTTACATCCATTTCACTTGCAGTTTGAAACCTTTTTTTATTAGAAATGTATTTCATGTAAGGTTGGTAAAAGGTTCCAATTTGAGGAAGCTCTGTATAGAACTGTATCTTTCAAATATATTTGTTTGAGGTCTTGGAAGACATAACCAACCCACCTGTTTTTACCTGAGAAGAATACCAATAAACAGCGGGATACTCAGATGAAGTCTGGTTTTGACAGGCAGCCAAGATCATTTGAAATGCATTTTGTAGATACTTATGCATTGTAATATAAACAGTTTACAGCTAGTCTAGTAGCCCTATTTTGGAGTAACTGCAACTTTTATACATCCTTCTTTGTGGCTGTGGACCAATCAGCAGAACAGTGTTCAAGGTGGGTTAGAACCACATATAATAAATATATATAACTATGTTCACAACATCTGGAGGAACATAGCAAGAACACTTCCAGCTGATGCTTATGCATCTCCCAATTTTCTTATCATCAGTGGGCTAAGATCAAGCGAGATGCTGGTTCAAAGTGATAACCAACAGCCTGGTTTCTTTAACTTGCTCCAAGGAGGCACACACTACAACGCCAAGATCAAAAAGTGGCTGATGTTATGCCACTCTTGTACCAGTTGCTGTTGTTCTGCCGGTTTATGGCATGGTATGTCACTAATGTTCTATTGTCATATATCACTTCTCATCGGCATGTAGGTATTCTTATTAACATGTGCCTATTATGAAATGCAGATAATGGCATACTCTGTATCACATCCACTTTTGATATACACAAAACATTTGTTTTAATGAAGGCACTTTCATTCATCTCAGCAGAACGTCACCCACCGAATGGAGGCAGCTCGTACTCCACCTCCAGAACCACTCGCTCCCCAATGTTCTTCAGCAGGCTAATAATCTCATCGTGGCGAAGCTTTGACAGGTTGATGCCATTCACTGACTTGATGTAGTCTCCTACATTCAGCTGGTCACTCCTGCGGAAAGTCACAGACAGACCATCAAGATCAAACTGTCCCAAGCAAGGGCCCCACACCACCAGGGGCCCAACAAGCCCTATGTTGTTGAATATCAGCATATTTTTAACACCTTAAAACTGCAAACATCTGTAATGTAAGAGATGTGGATCATAGTGGTGGACTCGCAGAGAATCATCAACAACTCTACATTCTCCCAGAGCTTTACTGGACTTTTTAGACACGTTCAGCTCAAAACTTTCACTCTCATCTCTTTAAACTCACTGTGAGGTATACATTGTTTCAGTTAGGTCCAACAGCACATTGATCCAGTCATGACCAAAATGAGACACAACTGTCTAATCTGAAATGAATATTCTGCCTGTTCTGGCAGATCCGCATGATCCCACTGTGTGAAAGAGGCAGGAATGAAAACTGACGCAGTAACAGAACAAGCGCTGTCTAATGTGAGCATTTACACAAGTAATCATAGTAATCACTAACACACAGAGCCAACAGCCAGCAGATGCCGGAGGGGAGGTGGCTGAAAGCGTCTCCTCTTCAGACACTGACAGGAATGATTGTACAAGGGCTCTCTCATATGACAATCTGAGTCAATTAATTAAATAGATTCTGTGCCCTGCTAGCCCCTCTCACCTTTAGGCTACTGCCAATCAGCACTGACAGCGGACAGAGAGAGAGACATCTTAACCAGCAGAGCTGACCGGCCTGTCATCCGGTCCAGTCTCATCACACAATGTCACTGCCAGTCTCTCCCCTGTCGGCCTGAGTGTCCCTCCACCCACTAAATTAGCTATCACTTCCACACATGCATGAACTCAGCTGTGGGAAGACAAGCTGCTTGGAAGAATTAGCACAGTGTCTGTCTTTAAACCTCCTTGGATTTGACAAGCGATGTTTGGCCAAAACATGTTCAGAGGGGCTGTGTCATTCTTAAAAATGTGTGTGTGTGTGTGTGTTTGCGTGTTACACTTCAGTCACACGCTGCTTAATCGTCATGAAACGTGAGTCTGATAGTACATTTCTCTTTCATGTGGTTGATGTTGGGGAAAATTAGCTTAATGTCATTGATGTTGGGGAAAATGTGTTAAATCAAATCTTAATTAAGCAATCTTTGAACTGAAAAACCAAGCTTGCAAAAGAAAATGTAGATCTAAATTTTTATTTATGAACACACTTTACTTACAAATAAGCCCTGTTAGAGTATTACTCTATAGGACGACATCAAGCTGATCTAACACAACGCCTACAGTCCTGCAGTAAGGGCGAGCTAGTGTAACTTTGCAGCACCTGCACGTTTGTGGGAGCAGAATAACAGGTGCGGACAGCTTGGTGTGGTTGCCAGATTTTAACCGCATCACAGAGCAGAGATCTCACCTGGCAGCTAGCCCACCTGGCCGTAGGTTTGACACTCTGGGCTTGCCGTCCTTATCAGACCCTCCGGAGATGGTGAGGCCGAGGCTGCTGCCTTCCCTTTTCATCAGGTCCACTGTGGTCACTCCTCGGCACTCCTCTGCTGACAGACACAGACACAGGCACAGATCCACAGTCAGCATTAGCATCTGCTTGACAGAATCACCCTGGCTGAGAGGCAGCGAAGGACTCCTTTCTTCTTCTTTCTTTCCTGAATCTCTCACAGAAATGCTCTCTGACATGCGACCACATACTTGATTTTCTCACTGTCCTGTTTTTTTCCTTGTTCGTTCAAATCTCTCAGTCTGAGCGAATCTTTGTGACGGGTTCATCAGGAGGAGGAGGATGAGGAGGATGGAGACAGTTTTGTTAACACCACACTAAATGCTGACAATGGAAAGACATTCAATGCATTATTTATAAACGGACACTCATTGAAAATTACCGCAGACTCATCAGGCCGTAAATTGAAATCCAATTGTGTGAACATGAGTTTGACCTGATGGATATGTGGCTTTATGGTGTCATCAGAGGACTCATTCTGTCTTGTGGTCCACATTGTGCTGGGCTGTTAAATCGTTCAATGTGAAGTCTACCAAGTGGGGTTTAGTGCAAATGACAGGTATGCCACACAAGCATTTTTTTCACCTTATCTAAGCATTCAAAACAGTGCACATCAAGCAAAACACAGCAGACACATGGCTCCACATGCACACAGAAGAGAATCTCACTCAAAGTCTTTTTGAGGACCCAGGTAAAGAGATATTTAAATATATAAAGCCAAGTTTGACTGAATTGTACCTGAAAAGCTTCGCCTCTGGGACGAATACGATTGGTCAGTTGCCCCGGACTCCTTGCTCCCCTTTGAGTATGGTCCTTCATCTGAGGAGACAGCAGGGAGGTATGGAAGTGCTGCTATGAGTCAATGTAGTGATTTGTAGTGAAACTCTGCAGCAGAAGGCTTAATGAACACGAACATCATGACAGCTGCACACACTTTAATGCTTTGAACTGCACCCTGGGTAACTTGATGGCTCTGGGAGCGAAACAGCACTTAGCCACCAGCAACGTCCATCCATCAGGCATTAGCTAACTGAGTGATCAGTCTGAACTCAGGACCGTGGAAGGTCACTCAATTTTGTATCCACGACAGTCCTATAAAAGGGTCATGGGTTTAAAATAGCTCTTTTCTGTCTGCAGCAGAGACCCTTGAAAACCATTAAATTAAAAGAACACATTTGCGGTGGGCTTGATGTATGCGACCACTAAAGCATGGGAATTTTCCTGAAAGAACAGCATGCAGTTAATGGACTGTTCGGGCATGGAGAGAAAATCATCATTTTCATGTCATTTGCAGCAGCTGTTACAGAAAGCCGGGGAAATGTTCAATCTGCTCTGCAGGGAAACTGATTTTGTATTTTTATTTTTTTTAACCCACAGTGGGACCTATTTCCGACACAGCGAACGGCTGGCCTCAGATTAGCAGAGCCACTGCCTTGGCCATCTGAACCTGAATGCAGCCATACAAGCATGTCAGCAGTCACAGTGATGAGTAAACTTGACTTGGCAGTTCTCTAATCCTGTCTACTGCAGATTACCTCTTCAGCTGTCCGGCACAGTGACTGAACGTCACATTACAAAGTTTAAAAAGGTGCTGTGCCAAGTCCTGGAGGGGCCATGTTAGAGGCCTTCCTACAGGACTCAAAGCTTCGATATTACACATTACAGAGACTGGTTTTAACACCCCACATTCAGAAACAGTGTATGTTATAAATGTTATAAACAAAGATAAAGATACTGCATGAGGTGAAAGGGACAAGCACATGCTGTTGTTGAAAAAACAATGGACAAACAACCAAGAGTGTATCGCTGCTCTCGTTGCATCCCCCCTCGCTTAGAGACACCTTTGGGACTGTCCACTACTGCAGGATGCACTGCACTTTGTCGGAGGTAGTGAAGTTAACATTTTTGTGGATTTGTTTTGAGATGTATACCTGATCAGAAGTGTTTTCAGTTATTTTTGTTTTTCTACCTCCGATGAAGAGCAGCGCACCTGACTCATCCAATCCAATCCCAAACAGGGTTCTGCATCTGTCAGACGGTCTGAAGGGGATACTACCATTTCAGCAGAGCAACGACGTAGGCTAATCACAGCAGAGTAGGCAGGTTAATCTCATTTATTTATGACCGTATTGTTGAAATGTCAGAGAACACATGATATGTGAGATGGATTTTGAATGTGCAGAAAATTTTTAACATGGGTAAAAAACTTGCTGAAACACAGGAGATAATAAAATGAAATATTTTTTTTATCATTGACGTAAATAGGTGCAACATATGTGCCACATGCACATATAAAGAGGAAACTTCCCCAAACAAAAGACACAAAAGAGAAGGGAACCCTAAATCATGTCTACATGTGTGTTGATGCACCAGGTAAATTTAATGAGCAAAGTTGATCTACAGAACAACACATAAGGCAGTATAGAATGCCTGAGAGCCTTACTGTGTTATACACCATTGTATTTTTATATTTTGAGTTGTCAGCTGCCACCTTAATCTCATGTTTCCATTTAAATAAAGACATTTTCATAATAAAATTGAAAAGGCAGAAATAGGTACAGAAGAATTTACTAGAATGCAGGAAATGAAGTGTTTAAAGCTCAAACCTTTTTGAGGAAGGACCCCCAGACCCCTGCTTCATGTGTGTCTCTCGCCAATGTTGAAATGGAGGCAATAGCCTAAAGGCTGAACCTTAAGTGCCAGATTACCGCCATTTGCAAACAAAATCGTACTTGGAGCCACATCTGCACACACAGACATTGATACACATATTTTTAAATTCGGTGTGACTTACATTTTCACACAGCATATCATTAACTCCGACAATGGGGATGTGAACGTTCATAAATCAGATGCTTCAGGACTTGCCTGGGAATCATCACGTTTTTAAATTTTCTTCAGTGTCAAAGCATTTCAGTGAGAGTTGTCTGTACATGCATGGGCATACTGCGAGAAGAGGAACTACTAACAGCTGATTCAGCATACTTTCAAGGGTGTCAAGCTAAAAAGATAATACAACTATAGACCTAAAAGTCAACTCTTAGCTAACTCACTGAATCCATGGCAACACTTCCTGTTCACATCCCCCCAAATGTAGGATTGTCTACCAAATAGAAGCAAGACAAAAAGAGTTGCATTGGGCCAATCAGTCAATCAAGTTTATTTGTCACATGTAATCATATAAGGCACTGGTACAGTCACAGTGAAATGTAGGCCTTCAAAATATAGTATTTGTGTGTCTCGATTTTGTCTGCAGCTGATTTGTAAAGACTGAACTGGGGGAAGTAAGTGCTCGGAGGGCATCAAACCCACGGCCTTCTCTCCATCCACATCAAGTTTCCACATCTGCCCAAATGAAGATGAGACCTTCAGACAGCTGAGAGGCACGGATCCTTTGTCAGACCTTCTCTGACCTGAAACCTTTGGGGCAGGCCCTGGTCACGAGGAGTAAAGCATAAAAATCAGCCTTCTTGCTGCATGAATCAGACCTTAACTACAGAAATATCGTTACTGGGCTTTGCGTGTCATGGCAATGTATAGAACATACATATGCATAATATGGTATTTCACACTAATTTAAACAAATCCTTGCACAAATATCCGGCCAAGTTGCCGTGAAGCACAAACACACATACACAAAGTGAGTGACACATCACAAACACATTAGTCTGGCCAACAGCCTTGTAACCACGCGGCCTCCTGAGGGCCACTGACAGTCCAGCAGCTGTCATTGCAGTCAAAAGGCAACATTAGCTCTGGGTAATGCAGACCCAATGCTCTGCATATGACTGAATGCTACTGTACCATTAAGCCATCCCCCAGCCATCCTCCTCCAGCTTAAAATAACCTTCATTTACCCTAAGGGCCAGAATTAAGATCAGGATGGAGCTAATTAACAACCCCAACAATGAAACAACTATTGTGAAAAAACAAAACAAATCTCCGCTCTGTTGTCTTTGAATAGGATTTAGTTATTGGCTCAAGGATGAGGTTTGCCAGAGGAGGTGTATCTAAAGGACCTCGGAGCATTGCACGGACTGAAATAAAATTCTGTGCTTCTGCATAAATATGTGGTGAGTTAACTACCTCGTTATTTAATTCAGGGCACTGTATGCCATCCCTCTCACAACCAATCAAAATGTAGGTTAAATATGGGGGCAGCACTGACAATGACAATGAAATCATAATGCTATTTTCAGATGTAAAACTTTATTTTTAAACTGGACACTGCCAGACCCAGTTTACGTGGCTATATCTGCCCCATTTATACTTGGCAGGATGGTATGCACAGCTGATGGTCAAGTTCACTGACATTTAAATCTCTTTGAACCCATCACAACCATAATACATGCATTGTAATGATTCTACACTCCAATCATTGTACATTCAGGCTATATGGATTAAAGATTTACAATTAGAACGAACATTGGGGTGATACCTTTCAGTTGCAGAGGTGACACCTCAGATGAAGTAAGTAAACTGAACCATCCTTCCTGCCACAAATCCTCCACTACAACACACAAGCCCCCCCCCCCGCAAAGATCCAAGTGTGGCGCTCTTACCAATGCTGTTCTTGGTGTCTCTCCTCAGACCACACAGCATGGCTGTAGTTTAGTCAGCGCAGCCACCCTCGAGAAGTAACCTTGCTGATCTGTAGTAGTGGGCAGAGGGCGGAGGTTCCACCTGAGGTAATAAGTAGGAGACCCGAGAGTCTCAGCCGCTCAGATAAAACTGAAACACCATCTTCGTTCCTTAATTTGTTCGCCCTTAGTCCAACATTTTCTTTAACAGTTGTCCCTGTTTGTAAAACCCAGCAAGGAATTGAGCTGCAGAGGAAAAATTTCAGATCCTCAGATGGTCTGTGGTTCCCTTCTCTATTTAAACTTGGTGACAAAAAAGATGTCAGTTAACTGATTCCTCTCAGTCCTCAAAAAATATAAATCTACCAATCTGTTTCTCTATAAAATCCAAAGCAGGGAGAGCAATGGTTCATGTCCTTTTCTTGCCATCTTGCCGTGGTTCCATTTTTTTAGCTAGTCTTACTAATTATTCGTCCTTTTCCAGAGGGTTTATCATCCCCTGCTCATACACTGACATGAGCTCACGCACAACCCTTCCCTCTTGCACAGAGCTAGAGTGAGTGTGTTTGCTCCCTCTCTCTCCCTCTGCCAGAGGGGTTCAGTGAGGCAGGCACACACGATAGTCTTTCCCTCCCCCAGTGCGAGCGCACACACACACACACACACACACACACACACACACACACACTTTATCCATTTCCCACCAAGTCAAACACCCCTCATATGCACATCCTCAAAACCCACCCACACACATACAAACACACTGAGATTAGACATGACAAAACACACACTCCGTACACTCAACTCTCGGTACAATTAACACCACCTGCACATTCATTGTCACACTGAGCCACACTGTCACATTTTTTCTCACATAGAGACTGCTCCCATTTTAGAGTGCTTTTTTCTACACAGTGCATGTATCCCCCCCCACACCACCCCTCTCTCTCTCACACACACACATATATATATACACACACACAAGCACATAATGGAAAATGGATGTGCAAAATTCCTGTGCAGAACAGCTGCCTGTTTGAAGACATGTCTAGCAGTTGAAATGTTAAAAATGCAGTTGTCATGCAACAAGGCTGACTCTACTCCTCATCATGATGTTATCATGTGAAAATAAGCAAATTATGTGCAAATGGAAGCGAAAAAGGGAACATTTGGAATCTAAATTCATTTCTCATTTCCTCTAAAGCCCGCATCTCATGTTTCCCCCTCAGGAGGGTTGAAAGGACTCTCTTCTAATCCAGGGGCCCATTGAGGCCCCTCCACCCAAACACAGAGGGATTAACGGGCCTGCTGACTGACCCGTCGCCACACCTGTCTGACCATTTGTCATGCACACAAGCCTCGGCGGCTGCCACTTCCTGACCCCCACTTCAGCCATCACCATCAACAACAACAAGCGCCCTCCTCCAGCCTCACTGGCAGCCCCTCTGAGCCTCTAGTGCTTATTTGTGTTGGCCATTGTGGACAAACTGGTTCAGAATCAGAATCAGAAATACTTTATTGATCCCCGAAGGGAAATTCTGGTTGTCATCGCTGAGACTTTGCAGGCAAGGAAATAAAGAACCCAACGTACAGCACCAGCAAATTCACAATGTGAAATTAGACCCACTATTCTACAACTGCTTATTTTACAGATGTGCAAAGTGATTACAAACAAACATTTCCATATTTCTACCCGCTGCTGCATTGAGCCCAATTAGTCAGCTGTTCCAGTGGACACAATGCTCTTCGGTGTAGATAATTTCCTCTGAGACTTTTGTCCTTAATACCCCATTTACAATGTGAGCGAGCGTCGTCTTTCAGAGCGAGACTAATTAATTTCCAAAAAGAATAGAGAGAAGCGGAGACAGAGCAGCGTGTTGGACTGATTAAAGCCTCTGAACAGAGCGGCAAGCGTTGATTTGTAATGAAATGTACTCTTTTGCACAGCCTAGATATCAACATAATTATATAGAGTGAGTGATAATGCAATGATTAGATTAAGAGAGCAGACTTTCTGCAGTGACCTTGGCATGCAGTGGCAGGGACTGTCAACCAGACAAGAAACAAAATAAGGCAGAATTTGAAAAGACTGAAAAGGTGCTAAATAATTAAGACTCTCAAGAAGATGAATGACCTGTGGCTACATTCCTTATTTAGTGCTGGTTTGTACATTTCTTCAATGTTTCACCAAAATTATTGTAAAAACAACCCTTCTTAAAACAGCCTACATTTTCATCCTACATAGACAAAGTGAGTATTCTAGGCGGGAGGGATTGAATCTTGAACCTTTTTCCTCTATCAAACTGACCACACTGCCATCTTATGGTGATCGGATCCAGCTGCAAGTGAAAGTCTGAAAAGCAAAATGACTAATTCACTTGACAGCCAGCACAGATCCGTGTGTGACAAAAGAAAGAGCCAGAGGATAAGGATGTCACACTCACTCATGCTTTCGTGTTCACCTTTAAGGTCGGTCAAAAGCCCAGATTTCAAAGAAATGCTCAAGTTTAACAAGCCTGCTGCACACGTACAAACGAGTTAACTGTTTTAAAACTAATTCAGGTAATGTATTTAATGTGATGACTGTTGATTAATTGCAGATAAATTTCTCACTGTCTTGTTCTGCAAATTTAAAGACATCAACTGACCATTTGCCCCAAACATGACATCCGGCGTTACCTTTGGTTCTCCCTCTGATGATGCCCAGTCGACATCTGAGAGAAAAAGAGAACATCCTCCTCTTTCCTCCTGCGGACAGGCTGCCTTTCCTCAGGGAATCTGTCTGAGGGAAAGCGAAGGAGAGCTGCTTGGGAGTGAGGCGCCCCTTTCCAAACACAACCCTTGCTGACATGTTCATTTTCTGACCAGTGACAAGGGGGGGAAAAACAGATTCTGTCCTCGTCCTGACACCCCTCACCATCTCTTAGACAGTGCAGTCTCTGCCTGTCCTGCTGTTTTCATGTTATCCTCCGTCTCTGGAGAACTTCCAGTCCTCTCAGGTGAGCCTTTTCCAAGCCACTGCAGAGACAGGAGCAGGTTTTTAACAGAGGAAAGATTCAGGTCCAACAGTGCGCCTGTTTTTTCTCCAACCGTATCTGGTAATTCACTTCCTTCAGTTCCGAACAGCCACAAGCTGACTGGCTAAATAAATGTTGTGTTTTTGCATCTCTGGCAATGTCAGATTTACAGGAACAGATGGCAGAGGGCTCGGGGCTGTAGGGCACAGCTTGCCTGCCAGAATGCAATGGAAACTTTCTCTGCAGGGAGCCGGCACTGAACATCACAAAACAATATATAATTTGAGCTGGCCATTTGAAGACAATACGCTTTGATACCATTCTATTTAATCTATTGATGTTACAACAATGTGTCAGCTCCGGATTTATCTAAACATGTTGATGCATAATACCAAACTGACTCCTTGCCATTAGTCCAAAACCTGGACTGGAGACTGAGCTGCTGCCTTCTTCACATTTTTCAAGGACTCCCAATAGACATATGGTCTTAAAGAGCAAGTGCATGAATCCATTCCTGACTATCTCTATTCTAACCATATACAGGTGCTGGTCATATAATTAGGATATCATCAAAAAGTTGATTTATTTCATTAACGCCATTCAAAAAGTGAAACTTGTATAATGTATACATTCATTCCACACAGGCTGATATATTTCAAGTGTTCATTCCTTTTAATTTTGATGATTATAACTGACAACTAATGAAAACCCCAAAATCAGTATCTCAGAAAATTAGAATATTGTGAAAAGGTTCAATATTGAAGACACCTGGTGCCACTCTAATCAGCTAATTAACTCAAAACACCTGCAAAGGCCTTTAAATGGTCTCTCAGACTAGTTCTGTAGGCTATACAATCATGGGGAAGACTACTGACTTGACAGCTGTCCGAAAGACGACCACTGACACCTTGCACAAGGAGGGCCAGACACAAAAGGTCATTGCTGAAGAGGCTGGCTGTTCACAGAGCTCTGTGTCCAAACACATTCATAGAGAGGTGAAGGGAAGGAAAAGATGTGGTAGAAAAAAGTGTACAAGCAATAGGGATAACTGCACCCTGGAGAGGATTGTGAAACAAAACCCATTCAAAAATGTGGGGGAGATTCACAAAGAGTGGACTGCAGCTGGAGTCAGTGCTTCAAGAACCACCACGCACAGACGTATGCAAGACATGGGTTTCAGCTGTCGCATTCCTTGTGTCAAGCCACTCTTGAACAAGACACAGAGTCAGAAGCGTCTCGCCCGGGCTAAAGACAAAAAGGTCTAGACTGCTGCTGAGTGATCCAAAGTTATGTTCTCTGATGAAAGTAAATTTTGCATTTCCTTTGGAAATCAAGGTCCCAGAGTCTGGAGGAAGAGAGGAGAGGCACAGAATCCACGTTGCTTGAAGTCCAGTGTATAGTTTCCATAGTCAGTGATGGTTTGGGGTGCCATGTGCCATCTGTTGGTGTTGGTTCACTGTGTTTTCTGAGGTCCAAGGTCAACGCAGCCATCTAACAGGAAGTTTTAGAGCACTTCATGCTTCCTGCTGCTGACCAACTTTATGGAGATGCAGATTTCATTTTCCAAAAGGACTTGGCACCTGCATACAGTAACAAAGCTAAAAGTACATGGTTTAAGGACCATGGTATCCCTGTTCTGAATTGGCCAGCAAACTCGCTTGACCTTAACCCTATAGAAAATCTGAGGTATTGTGAAGAGGAAGATGCGATACGCCAGACCCAACAATGCAGAAGAGCTGAAGGCCACTATCAGAGCAACCTGGGCTCTCATAACACCTGAGCAGTGCCACAGACTGATCGACTCCATGCCACGCCGCATTGCTGCAGTAATTCAGGCAAAAGGAGCCCCAACTAAGTATTGAGTGCTGTACATGCTCATACTTTTCATGTTCATACTTTTCAGTTGGCCAACATTTCTAAAAATCCTTTTTTTTTGTATTGGTCTTAAGTAATGTTCTAATTTTTGGAGATACTGAATTTGTGATTTTCATTAGTTGTCAGTTTTAATCATCACAATTAAATGAAATAAACATTTTAAATATGTCAGTGTGTGTAATGAATATAATATCCAAGTTTCACTTTTTGAATGGAATTACTGAAATAAATCAACTTTTTGATGATATTCTAATTATATGACCAGCACCTGTATAATGTGTTACTCAACATTTACTTAAGACACACAGATGACTCTTACTGACTGAAAGGCAAATAGAAATTGGTTACTGGGTCCTAAGACAACTCACAATTTCAATTTGTCAACCAAGTTTACACATCACGATAAGGTTTACAATTCATGGTGGGCTCTACTCAGCCTGTGAAAGTTGTATAATGTTCTCTCTGGCTGTACTTTAAGTACTACAAAGTGCTAATTGGGTCCCTTAAGAGTGTTGGAATATAATTATTCCTTCAAAACATTTGCTGCATTTTAGTTTAGCTAAGGTGGACCTAATTTCAACTAGATCTGCAATGATAAAATCTGCAAAGTACTGACAGCTGTCAGACAAACACAGTGGAGTAAGAACTACAATATATGCCTCTGAAAGGTTGTGGAGTAGAAGTATAAAGAAATATAGAATGGACATGTACTTGAGTAAATGTACTGCAAACGCCAATCACTTGCAAACTGCAGATACATTTAGTCCCCTTGCATTCCTGGATTGCCAGTATGGTGTTTCTCTTGTAAGTTAAATTATGTCAAAATTGACATGAAGGAACACAAGGGATTTTAGTCAGGTCTAAACAAGTTGCATTATAGTAAATGTAGGCTCCATTGTTTTGGGCATTTGATCCATACTAGGGACCAGAGGTCAGTCCATCTCAGCGCCATCAATTGTGACTATTCTTGCCTCTTGCAAATCCCCAATTAAATGAAACTACAATACCAAACTGCTGGAGCACTATAGGTTACTCTGAGAAAACGGATTAATCTTTCCAGCATCCAAACTTAGCTTGTACCCACCAATTTGTTAACTGGTGGGTTAAAATTTAATACTTTGGGTACTTGCTTAATGAATACATATCCATTTCTAAGTTGCAATTTTCCCCAATGCAGCTCATTTGTCCAAGCCACCTTGAAACATTTAATTTACAAAAACCTGACCTGAATTGAATCCACAATGTTCTGAGAGATGTTAACCTTAAAAACTGTAAATACATGTACCCTTGAAAACACTACCCCAGATAAAATTTGAATATAAATTGCATTTATCTGAAGTTGTTAGACCTCCTCCAGTCATGGGTCACACTCTTCCTCAGGCACCTTGACCCTTTTGTTCAGTTCCAGCATCCAGTCGTCTGGAAGGTGAGGAATAACCCATTTACCCAAAAGATAGCACAACCGGCTCTGTAAGCATCGATGCACTCCGGAGAGATGTGATCTGTACTATTTTGGTGCCTGTGGACTACACGAAAATAGCTCTAGTCTCCAAGTATTGTGCGCCAAATGAGATATCCATTTATAATTCCTTGGTCACTCCAACACCTGTTAATACACATTGTCCATTTTTAAATTAGATTTCTGTCCACCATGTTGAAAAAAAACCCAACTTATTTTTTGGGTCTTTCACACCTAATCTACAGTACAATTTCAAGTTTGTGTCCAAATTGCTTTACTTCCACCTTAGCCAACAACCCACCCACTAAGATGATTTCCATAAAATGATTGAGTTTGCGTTTTTTTAGACATGTGCAACAAGCCTGCTTACAAGCAGAAAAATTAACCACAAGCCAATTACAATTCTTAAACATTTATTGTGAATAACCAGTTTATTCGTTCTCCTCGCTCCTGAGCCTGGCGTTGGGGTTGGTGATCTTGATGGCCAGCTGAGCTGCCCTCTCCACAATCAGCTTCCTGTTCTTGGAGGAGACGTTGTGGGCGATCTCAGCACAGTGAGTCCTACAGGAGGCAGAGGGAAGGGCATTAGTTACCTATGAGATGTTGGCACTGAAATGTCAGAGGGACAATTTGGGCTACAATTGTGTAGAGGTTTCTATTAGTGTTGGAATAATAAATAAAGCCACACTTCTAATACAATAAAATCCTTTTAAACAAAAAATTATTTAACAATCATGAAGTCAAAAATTAGAAAGTGTTACTGCAGATTTGGTCTCACAAAGTCCCCCAATTTCTTATATAATTTCCTGCTGCTTAGGCAGGCAATTCTAAATCTCAGGATCACTCCTGGTTTGCCGTAACATCTCAAAAATACTTTACTGCAGTTACTACATTAAACAATGTCCAGTGTTTCTAAACATGCTAGTAAAGTGAGGTCATGACAGTTTCATTAACACCACACTTGCATAAGACTAAAAGCTGGAGCACCCAACCTACAATGCTGTCAAACACTAAAGATGATGAATTACAGAGTAGCCACTAAACTAAAAACTGACAAAAATGTTGGAGTGCTTACACAGTGTTTGACTTGTGTCTCTAAAGTAACATAACATAAAAATACATCAATATTACATCACATGTTCTCTGAACTATTGATACAAGGACCACTTTAAAGAAAAAGAAACTGGTCTCAAAATCAATGTCACCATATCAGGAGTCAACTGGACTCGGCAGTCCAGCTGAGTGAGCTGAATTTTCAGCTCAACTCTTGCTTCTCTTTAACTTGGCCTGATTAGATTTTGCTTGTTGTGCTGCACCCAAACAGTAAAAACATACCCCCTTTGACCAAACTGGCATTTCCATGGATTTGTGTGTTCAATAATAGTTACAGGCTGCTCAAATTAATACTAGCTCCAAAAGAGTGGATGGGTAGAGCCAAACATTTCCCCTGAAATACACACCAACAGACTGTTGCAAAATTCTTTCAGCATTCATTAAATTCTGCAAACTTCAGATCAATTCAACCCCCTCTCTGCAGATGGCTGGACACTGGCGATTTGCTAATTTGTAAGTCTAAAGTCTGACATTAAGGATGATCCATGACAAAAAGCAAAATCTCTGCCTCTCTGAAATTAAACAGGTTGATGTGACTGCAGCGTAAACATAGGTTATGCTTTGAGCTGTGCTTGCTTACTTCAGTTATCTTAAGCTTAAAAACAAAGTTGTAGTAGCTGCCCCACCTCAGCTCCATTTTTACTTTCTGGTTCAATATAAACTGATAAGATGAAAAGCAGTATTACTGCTAAGCTTCTATCCCTTCAGACACTTATTAATGAGGTTAATCAAAACCAGAACCGTGGTTTTCTACAGTCTGCACAAAACAAGAAGGGCCATCACAGAGACAAATATCCAGGATTGTCAGCACCAGTATAACAAACTATGTTGGACATCCTGATTTTATCAACAATATTTGTCACATTAAGTTCTGCCAGCATCCACAACAGTGACTATTATTGTATTCCGATCAAGTTCTGGACTATTACAAACTCAATGTCAGTTTGTAACCTTCTGAACGAAGATGGCTGTTTGACAGCTGTCAGATCACAGCCTGCAGATACCGTTAGTCTTTATTAAAAACCAAAATTTATGTAAGTCACATAGTGACAATATACACCAGTTCAAGTCTCGCTGAACTTCTGTCGCCACCTCAATTATACTGGAAGTGAATAGAATTTCTTTCAAGATGCTCAAGGAACTGAAAATATGTATTTCAAGACCCAAGGATATAATCTCTGAACAGAAACAATATCGTAGTTAGTTAAACATTGGTTAACCTATCAGTTCAAAGGTTATAAAATGTGAAATGTGTAATTGTTTATAAAAGCTTTTGTTAAACAATTGCATTTCTAATGCTCTCCACTGCGATTATACTTAAGTGGCAATCTCTCAGCATGTATGTCAAAATCTCTGAAAATAGAACAAACCATGTGCAAGCCTGACACCAATAACTTTGGTATGTGGGGAAAAGTAATCTACATTATTTGACAGTTTGTGCACACACAACTTACTTGTTACTCATCATCAGGACCTCGAGCTCCTTGATATTGTGCACCAGGAACTTCTTAAAGCCAGTTGGCAGCATGTACTTAGTCTTCTTGTTGCTACCATAACCGATGTTGGGCATCAGCATCTGACCCTTGAACCGCCTGCGGACCCTGTTGTCAATACCTCTGGGCTTACGCCAGTTTTTCTGATGGAGATATGAAAAAGACAGTCAGAGATCCATTGCTTGCAATTCCAACCATGTAAGTCGAAGCAGGAGATGTCTAATATGTCATACAGGCTCTTAATCTTACCGCAATCTTCACATATCGGTCAGACTGATGGCGAATGAACTTCTTGGTTCGCTTTTTGACAATCTTGGGCTTTGTGAGGGGCCTGAGGGCTGCCATGGTGACTGAAAACAGAGAATAAAGTTACAATTAAGCATGAGTAAGCTTCAGAGTTGCAGCGTTACACCACAGCGTTGTGCATAACGTTACTACTAGCAATTAATTTGTTTCAATTACTAACAGTAACGTTAAGTGAGCAAACTTTATGAAGAAATGGCAGAAACTTAAACGTTAGGTAAGTGTTCTCTCACTGCAACTTGTAATATAAACACCAGACAAAACGACCATTAACAGCAATGTACTTATAATTTCTTGTCTGTAGAGTGAGCCACAAGGTAAACGTGTTGACCAATGTCAGCTAGCTAGTTAGCTTCTACGGTGCAGTCAATGTTTAGCTAGCTCACCATGCTACTCTCCATATTACATTATAGTTTCATAGTATAGCATGAGCCCAATTTAAAAATAAAAAAAAATCACGTATGTATAATGTTGGTAACTGCTATTTGTTATTTCACAATGCTTATCTGTAAGCTGCGCTGTACAGCGGGCCTTTACTGAATACTACAACCCCATTTCACGGCGTTAGTAACCGGTCAGCCCCTGTAAGAACAGCATCTCACTCCAGAATGACACATAAGAGTATGTATAAAATGATAAAACGGTAAATTTTATCTAACATGTGTAGAGTGGATGTCTATGATTGATAAACCACGTCAGGATGGTCAAATAACACCCTAAATCGCGGGGATTAACATAGATTGTGGCGACTCACCCGCCGATGTGAATCCAAAAGGGACTTCGGCGACGGAGGAAAGAAAGAAAAGGACTTCCGCGAGTGTTGCAAAGGCTTATGGGTAGTGTATTTTATCAGCGCATAGTGCTTGAAGGCGCCTGTGGTTCACTGGAATTTAGAATTTCTTCTCAAAGCGTATTATTTAGTGAAACAGCATATCGTGTTTGTTATTCTTCACTGAGTGTGAATTTTAGCATGTTTTAGCTGCCCGCCCACCGTTCGCGTTTGTTTACTGCCCATAAACTTCGCTCATGAAATTTATATTTCTGCGCACTTCCTGAACAGTTGAGTTTATTTGGGGGGGAGGGGCTTTCGTTACTTCCCTAAACTGAGCGAGCGCGCTTTACTATTAAATAGACAGATCTATGCTCCCAAGCTGAACCAAAAACACCCAAAAAAGTGAAGTGTTGTTCCTGTTTTACTGTCAGAAGAGGAGGCGTTAGACATGCTGGAAACGGGGGTGGGGTGTGATAAAAGGTAAATGATCTGGGTTTTGTCACATGATGATTGGTGTAATACATGATTATAGCACGCACGAAGTCTTGGACTGTTCTTATTTTGTTGTTCAGTTGTTTCCCAGCGCTTTGAGATGGAATCTCAGCCGATATTGAGGTGAGCGTCGCAAAATAATGTTGTGTTTTTTCTCCAAACTAAATATAGCGCGCATTGTTTTCTCTCGCTAACTTTCGTTTTCCGTTACTTGCAGTGACCAGAACCGGACGTATGGAATGGGCAATCCCGGTTATATACCAGCAGCACAGGGGGCACCTGGTAAGGTGTAATTCAAGCTTTTGCCCTGAACGTTAAGCTAGTTTTGCGACGGCGTGCGTGTAAAGCTATAATAGTGTAATACATGCTTCACTTGGACATCACAGTCCAACACATCAGAGTGACGTAATTTTCGACGTCCAGGTTACTTTAGCCGCACCTTTAGGAAATGTGAGCTAGCCTAACGTCTCTAACACTCCATTTACACCTGTTATTAAAATATCTAAAGGGGAAAATAGGTAAACTGCATAAACGTATTATTTACTATAACACTGGCTAGACAAATAATTTGTTGCCTCTTGTTAAATGTTTTTTGAATAGCCTAAAAATGTTGTGTCTGTTTGTGTAAGCCAGTCTGTGACTAGATATATTATTTGCCTGGTTAACAGCAGATCAGCTGCACACACCATTGCAAGCACAGTTATTTCTTACTGTATATAATTCATTTCCCACCCACCTATGATATGAACACGATGCAAGCCAGATTACCTCCAGATGTGTTCAGGCAGATCATGACCTTGATTCAACAGGCGTTTTACCTTATCTGGTTAACATATGATATACAATATAGATTGCAGTTTAATACCAGGTGTAAATTTATTGTATAAGCTAAACTCGTTGGTGTAATGCATGGAAACTTAAGATTAATAACAATTAAAAGTTTACATCAAAGCACATGACTGAACTGGTTCTTCTGGTTTGTTTTAGCAATATTTGCCCCACCCGCTGCTGGGTCCCAGGGCCCCACCGCTCCTCCAGCCAGCATGTTTGACAGCATGCCTGGCTATGAAGGAACAATGGCAGGAGGAGGAGGTACTGTTGCACATACTCCTTATTTGTCTTGTTTGCCACGCTGCCAGCCTCTGTGCCAAAACATCTCTCACAGTACTCTCATATCCACTCCTTGGACACTTAATGTCTAAAACAATCCAGTACAACAGCTCTTACACATATACTACCCTGTTAAATCTTATACATTTTTAACAGAGAGGTTGAGTAAATGGTCTCTCTAGTACACTCTCTTCCACAGGGTCTCCTCCTTTTTATTTGTCAATACAAATGACTGTCAGACTTATTAACGGTATGTAAGGTATGTTTGCGGATGACCTAGTCAGTCAGCCTTTTGCACAATGAGGAACAGAGTCATGGCCCAGGCAGCGGTCTCCAAAGAGACTGACAAATACTTGTTAACCATCCTGGATGGGAAATTTACCTTTGATGCCAACACTGATTGTATTTATAGAAAGGCCAAGCTAAGACTGTTTTTCTCAAGGAAGCTCAGAAGTTTTAATGTGTAAAGTTAAAAGTGTTGTACTTCTTTTATCAGTCAGCTGCTTTGATCTGTTGGTTTGTTAATCTCAGTGTGAAAAACAGGAACTTGCTGGGGGGGAAACACTGATTTTGTGCCGTAAAGTCACGCCTTTGCCATTTGCATTAAGTCAGAGCCACATAAAAATCTCAGGTCATCTGACTGGACTCCCAGCATCCTTTATATAGTGAGTTTATATAGTTTAATTTGCTTCCATCAAGGCGGCAGTTTAATCTCCCTACAGGTGACACAAACAGATACATAAGGTATTTTATTCCATCAGCTACTGATTAGCGGCGGATGTGATATGATGCCCCTCTTTTTATTTTTTATTTTTACTTTTTCTGTCACTGATGGTTTTGGTGCGAAGTGACAATGACTACAGTGACGTTGGTGCTAGCCTGTGTACTTGGACAGTGTACTTGGCTTTACTCTATTCTACCTTCACGGAGCTTATAATGGTCAGTTTCTCAAACTTTCTGAGAGGTGTTAATTCAACTGTGTGTTTATTACTGTGGTGGTTGTTAGTGATGATGTTTTACTGGGCTGCATTATCTTAAAATTTATTTCTAATCATTTTAAAATGGGTTGGGCAAAACATTAGAAACACCTCTCATAATATATAATGCAGTCCACTTCAACACCACTGCAAAGGGCAAGCTCAAAAATGAACGTGTAGTTAAATTAATACCTCTCTGACACTTAACTTTATTACCTGTGTAAAGGTAGAATTTATGTTTTGTATGTGTACTTAATAAAGGGGCCACTGAGTGTAAACTGGATGTTTAACAACAAGAAAAAATTATATAGATAATAAAGCAATGAAACAGTACAAAACAACTTTCAGTATCTGCTGCAGGTGGATTTCTTCCTCCTCCGATGCCTGCTTACCCAGCTCCTAAGCCTGAACCTGGACCTGAACAACCACATTGGAAGTAAGACCTCAAACTTTTTCCTTTCTTTCAAGATGGCTGCTAAGGGTGTTGCAAAACATTTTCCATTATGTGTTTTAAGATTAAAGCAATCTAACCACTATTATTAGTGTTTTATATGCACTATGATAACTATCACTTCCTCTTAAAAGATTTGACTGTGTGACAGTGTGACATATTGTATCTCATTCCCACATTGCTGCCAGTATCCCATCTATAAGTGAAAATACTGCTCGAGAGGCGTTTGTCCAGTTTGCCTCCAGCAAGTGCTGCTACAGTTCAGCACCAGCAAAGGATGGTGTGATCACCGGCATGGAGGCATTCAATACGTACAGGGTAAGAGGTCTATTCATGTGTGTGTGTGCGTGTGTGTGTGTGTGTGTTTGGGAAAACCTGCTAGAAAGGCATGGGAATCAATAGACGTAATAGCTTGTGTAATCGTTTTGGGAGTTCAGTGCATAAATTACCAAAGTAAGTGACTGTAGATCACTTAATTTAACTGGACAGAGCAAGAAAATTACTCTATTTTGTTTTCTCCACCTCTGCTTAGTACCGCCTGGAAACCTTTACTGAAACAAGATCTACAGAGTGGAGTCACGAGCCATACACTGGTACAGCACTATTACCTTGTGCATCAGTTGCAGTTTTAATTCTCTGTCAGCTGTTTACTGCTAGCTGATAATCGAATTATGTTGTTTTATTTGGATTAGGACAGCCAGTGGATGCCTTTTCCCAACCACCTCCAGGGCCTTGGGATATTCCTGCTAAATCTCCAAATTTTTTTCTGGATGGCAAACAGATTATCAAGGTTCCCTACACATCATCTGTGAAGGTAAATTATACGACACATTTAGACGCACATTTACGCTTTTAGAGATTTTTTCTGACGAGACTTCCCACACAGACCTGCCACGTTTGTGTGGGAATGGGACGAAGACCTTGCAAAGAGTGTGCCGGTGCTGGTAATGTAAGTATTTTCTACAGACCTCATCGAAATGATTATTTTAAGACCTTTAGTGATTTCGTCTGATCATGTGATTTCTTTTTTCGTCAGAAAATGTGTTGGGTCTGCAATGGATCTGGTTACCGCCATGGAAATGATAGATGCACCCACTGCAATGGCAGAGGGAGGGAAAAGTAAGTCTTACCCATTGCATCACATAGATTTATAATGAAGTAAAATTGATGTTAAGTGCAGTGCAGTTTGTGCTTGAGCTAAAAGATGCTAATCGTTATTAAACATTACTATGTCATCAGTTGCCGCCACTGTCACGGGCAGGGGTCGACGCAATGTGAAACATGTCGTGGAAAGCAACAGCTTCTGGTCTACATCAACCTCACCGTGAAATGGTGCTTCTTCCTCAAAATTATTTATCTGTCAACACTGTCTGACTAAAGCAATGCACAATCTTTATTAATCTGAAGGTCATCAATATTAATGGTTACTTTATACTGTTAATTAGTGTGTAACAGTGTTTTTTGTGTATATGCTTTCAGGACCAACAACTCTGATTGCTACGTTGTGGAACAGTCAAGTGGACTGCAGTCGGACAACCTGAGCAGTGTTTCTGGAAATGAGCTTTTCAGGGACTCTCAGTACATGGTAAAATAATTTTTCTCACTTTCTCAGGGGGGCACAAGAAATACATCAGGGAGGATTCTGTTTTTTTAATACAAAGAACATGCAGATAGCTTAGATTTTGGGGAGAACAGTTTTGCCTGACAGTTGTTCTACATCACACGTCAACACTGGGTGTGTTTCAGACATGTTCTGATGTCTTTGATGGTCTACATAGCTCACATAACACTTGCATTACACTTATTCTTTACGAGGTTAACTTTCACGCTTTTATATATGCTTGTAACTACAGTTAATTCTGCCCTGCCAAAATGTCAGTGACCACACACAAGCACTGTGGCTGAACGCATCCTGTGTGACACTGATGGAGGACTGAAGCTGCTGCTGCTGCTGTCATGCTGCTTTCAGCATGCAGCATGTGTACTATGTAGACACAATGCTAAGTTTAATTCTGACCCTATGTTCAGAGGTCGTAATTGTTTGTGAAGAAATCTGTCTTTTCACCTCTCACCCAACACAACTTTTGTTATCCTGCTTGACCTGTCAACCAATAAATTAATGCCATTTAAACAGAGTGCACTTAATCACATTTCTTTGATTACTCTGTGCAGGTCTACCCAGTAATGGGCTTCCCAGACCCTACAGTGGTGCAGGCTGCACAGCGCCTTGTCAGTGAACACACGGCCAAGTACTCACAGACGTCACGCATTCTACAACAGGTAACCTAGTTTATTTATAGCCTACTATTTTTGATGTAAAATACTGGTAATAATATGTTGTCGATGGCAATGCACTATATAATACTTATATTGCCTAATTTTGTGTTTGTGCTTATGCTTTCTTTGTCTGCAGCGACAAACCATAGAGTTGATCCCCGTCACCAGGGTGAGCTACTCGTGGAAAGGGAAATCACACATTTACTTTGTTTACGGGAATGAGTACAAAGTTAATGCCGATAACTATCCTGCTACCTGTTGCTGTACTGTAATGTAATTGCTGTGGTTGTGTATGATGTTTTTTTCCCCTGAGGAGTTCCCTGATGTGTGGGCAGTGATGATCTTGTCTTGTTGTTGATGTTCAATAGAGTTAAACCTTGCATTTAACCTATGAACTCCCAACATTTCAGTGAAACTGATTAATCCTCTTGTATAAGCAATCTTCAAGGCTACAAAGAAAGTTTACCTTACCTAACTACTACAAGATAACTAATGATTAAAAAGTTTTTATTGTTGAGTGCCATTTTTATGCATGCACCACAGAAAATAATTGCTTACTGACACAATAGAAAGGATTATCATACTATATACACTGAATCCTCAATCTTTTTGCTCTTTATATGGCAACTGATTTTTTTTTATCATAAGTAATAAAGACTTATTTTATACAGAATATTTTTTTGCAGCAGTTCTTTTTTTGTGGTAGTAATATATATGGCCTAATCTGTTTGCTCTGTGAATGTAAATGTTAATCTCTTGTTAAATTTATATGATCTTGTAAGACAAAAATGTGTAATACCTGCATTAAAAACTGCAATAATTCAGCTTTTTGAGTAAATGGAATTTCTCAATAATGTTTTGCTGTCGAGTCGTTTCGTCATTAAAAGAGGACTGTCGCTTGTGAAATGACGAAAGGAACGTGTTCGCCATAATGATAATAAACCGTGAACACAAAGCTACAATAAAGCAAATTAAGCTTTGGCTGTGAAACTGTGATCGATACCTAGATATTCACATTGGAGCAATCAAGTTTGGACTGATATTGGTGGGTACGAGTCTTGGTAAATTTGGTAAAACCGAAGGAGAACTGAGCGGAACAACGAGGTAAAGTTAGCATCTTAGCTAAGTAGCCAGGTTTACCTGTGATGCTGCTAGCTTAGTGCTAGGTTGCGTGTATATGCAGGGTTCGTTGGTTCGAGTACGAGGTGTATCTGGCACCATGCGCTGTGCACGTCTGGACAGCTCAGTGTAAACGTAAACTATAGCACTGACATCTAGAGGTGTCCGTTTAATAGTGTTGTTGCGAGCTAAGTAGACCAGCTTCCTTGTTTAGCTACAGACTAACGGTAGCTAGCTAACGTTAAGTATCGCAACAGGCAGTGTCTCTAGAGATTGCTGCTGCTCGGTAACGTTACAATTAAGTGTCGGCTATAAGTGAATGTAGGAAAACATGCGAAGTGTTGGAGCGTAAGTTGTAGTTTCCAGTCAGATAATAAAAAGATGCCAAGATATTTAATGCTAACTTGGAAAGTAATGCGTGTTTGACAGTTACTGTCCCTGGAGAGCAGCTGCACCTGCACACACTCCGTTAGGAGCCGTTTGTGAAGCGCTAGAGCGAATCCGCTTCTGACAGATCTACTCTTATGATTTTCTATGTTTGTGTGACGTTGCTGTTTTTATTGACTCTTTTATGATTATAAGTCGCCATATAGAGCAGCATACTTTGTTATAGCCCTCTAGAGTTGCAGAAAAGTGTGGACTCATTTGTGAAGAATGCACTAATAATGAAATGAATGCGTGCCATCCTCACAGGCTGTGCCATGGCGTCGGCATCTGCCACTGTGGACTCCAAGGCAGAGCTGACTGCTCTGCTGGAACAGTGGGAGAGGGAGCAACAGGGCAGCACACAAGAGCTGGTTAACATTATCACCAAGTGAGCAATTGGGCTTCTAGTTTCTTCAAAATCTCTGTGATGAGTTAGTTACATAAGCTGTGGTTTTTGGCTCGTCTTAAAGATGGTAAATGTGTTGGTGTGATGTGCTCTTTCAGAATCTCAGAGCTTGTTGAGAAAGAGACAGAGGAGTACCACAAAGCGGACCCAGACCCTTTTGATGATCGGCATCCTGGTATGATTAAAAAAAAACAACAAAAAAACAAGCTTACCAAAGATGTAAATTTCATGTATGTTTTTGACATTTCCCTCTTGGCCACTAGGGAGAGCTGATCCAGAATGTGTGTTAGGGCACCTGCTCAAGATCCTGTTCAAGAATGATGACTTTATGAACACGGTAAGAATTGAGATGGTTTTCTTGCAAAACAAGGGGCAATTTTAGCATCTGAGTCATAAGGTGATTATTCATTTTTCCTTCCCATTGTAGCTGGTGAACAGCTATGTGATGACCAGCCGAGAATTTTCCCTCAATGCAGCAGCTTGTCGCCTGCTTCAGAACATCATGCCTGGATTAGAGACAGCTGTGGTCTTTCAGGAAAAGGTGGGTTATTGTTATTGTTCATGTTAATGAAAAGATAACGGCATTTAGTCCTTTTCTCTGTTCTCTCGCTCAAGCAATGGGTTTCATTTAGTTCAGCTGTTATGATGTTCTGTGACGTTCTTGTGGTTTTCCCGATGCAGATACGACATTCAGTCATTAATGGTACATTAAGTTATACAGGTTTACTCGCCTTCTACTGGCAACATTATACATTTGTGTTTAGTGTTCTGACATAAATAATAAAGTCGCAACAACAAAGATGAAGCTGCATATAAAAGGGAAGAGTTCTCATTTTGACTTCAAAGGAGGCTCTCTGTGATGTCACTCAAACACACTGCTCTGGCTTTGTTTTTAAATGAGCTGAAAATGTCAGGATGCTCTGGAAGATTTTGTTGAAAAACAGAGTAGGGTCAGCCACGTTATCACCGAGTCACTGGTACTGGACAAATACCCCATCAAATTTAGACTGCATCAGTTGTTTTAAAATGTTGTTTGTGTTTGTGGAATCACAGTCAAGCCTGCGAGTTAGTTGCACTTTCACCACAGCTCTGTGGCGGTTGACTTGTGTTCATGATGTGTAAAGTTACAATGTCTTAATAAAGGTTACTTGAAAAAGTTAATCTAGACTAAAAACCCACAGGATCAATACTTTTTTATTCAGAACTACACTTTTTTTGTGATGCAAGCCATCATACATTCTTTATTTGGCCAAAAATGTGAACAAGTTGGGGGAAATACAGCACACAACATTTTTCTGATTAAGAATTGGTTCATATTCTTGTTTCTAAACCTATTTCACCATTTGTTTGACTCAGGAGGGCATAGTTGAAAGGCTGTTTAAGTGGGCTCAGGAGGCAGAGCAGCCCCTCAGAATCTATGCCACGGGATTGTTGGCCGGCGCTATGGAGAACCAGGATATTGCAGCCAACTACAGGGAAGAGAACTCTGTTTTGGTCAGTAAGGGATTCTGCTGCCTCAAATGTCATTTAATTGAATTAATAATGCGAAAGTACATAGTGATAGACAAGGTATTGCAGCAGCTCTGTTATCCCACAAAGCATCAGAGCAATTTGCTCATCATCAGAAGGTGGTATGAAGTAGCAAATTTCCATCAGCTTGTTTTTCACGTTTTACTTCGACAGGTGCCTTTGATGCTGCATCGGTTGCGTGAGCTTCAGGATAAGGATGCTGAGAACAAAAGGGAAATCAAACGGCCCAGCCCCAGGAAGACTTTGAGTCAGCCTTTGCTGCCTTTAGATGAGGAGACCATTGACGGAGGCTTTGAAGAGAAGCCTTTCACACTGGGCAGAAACAGAGCTGAAAGCGAGGGCATGGGAACAGAAGAGGATGGCGATATTCACGTCTCATCCATCGAGCCTGAAAACGAGCTTTCGTTCCGTCTTAGCTCCCCTCATAGGACCAGCAACCGCACCAACTCGGCTGTAAAAACCATGATGAAGCCCATGTCTGCCCCGGGTTCGCTGATTTACCAGGGCATGTCTGACGGCAGCAGTTACCTAAGAAGGAAGGCAGAGAGGGAGAGTGGCAGGACCTCAAAGCAGAAGCTAAATTTCTCTCTGCCAGAGCCAGAGAGGAACTTCAGTGAGCTCTCCAACAGCAGCTGGTCCGAGATGAGCCCTTGGGTGATTGGCAACAACTATCATCTGTACCCTCTAACCCCAGAGATCGAGCAGAGGCTCATCCTGCAATATCTCACACCTCTGGGAGAGTATCAGGAGGTTAGTCCATTACAATCAGCTGGCACAGTGCTTTCTTCCTCACTTTATGCATTTCCCTTGTCTTGTCACAGACTCGCCAGCAGATGTCAGTCTTCCTTAACTATAAAAAGTGTATTTTTTTTTAAGGCTCACATCATGGATTTTCAGTTTAAAGACTAAAGACTAAAAGGCTTTTTTATGTTCAGTATTGGTTACAGCAACTAGCAATTTACAGGGTTCCATAGTAAAGCAAGTTAAAAATGATTTATGTGTTCTCAATGCCCATTCCTCCTCCCTGCAGCTGCTGGCGGTGTTCATGCAGATGGGAGCTCGTGAGCTACTCATGCATTACATGGATCTGAAGCAGACCAATGATGTGCAGCTCACCTTTGAGGCTCTCAAGGTAAAGGCCTTGGATCTCCTTTTCGACGACCCTCCGTGGTGCCAGATACACAAAGTTAAGCTCTATACGCTAATTTTTCTACTCGTCTCTCTTCTCGCAGTACCTGGCTTCTCTGCTGCTACACAAGAAGTTCGCCGCAGAGTTTGTGGCTCAAGGAGGTGTTCAAAAGTTGCTGGAAATCCCCAGGCCATCTATGGCCGCCACTGGAGTGTCTCTGTGCCTCTACTACCTTGCCTATAACCAGGACGCCATGGAAAGGGTACAAAACAGACACACTTCATGCAAATACACAATTAAATCTGGAAGATTGCCATCATTGTTCTTGGAGCTTTATCTGTACTTAATGTGTCAAAGGAAAAATGGTAATGTATTAACTGTTTGTAGCCACCAAAGCTTGGCAACGTGCCATTTTTATTGCATTGTCAAATGAACACCAAATTCTTCTTTTTTGGCCATCATTTTCACTTAATGAATAGTGTTCTTAAAAATGTCTGTGTAAATGTGTTGTAATATATACAACAAAACTTGGTCACTTTGGGCTGCATCTCTGCATGAAAAGTAATATTTTCATTCACAAAGTTAGGTAGCTGTAGGTACAGTGCACATTTGTATTCATCTCTGTTGCCTCCCCTCTCCAGGTGTGCATGTTGCCCCACTCCATCCTGTCAGATGTGGTTGGTTACACGCTGTGGCTGCTGGAATGCTCACATGCGTCCGGCTGCTGTCACGCCACCATGTTCTTCTCCATCTCCTTTTCTTTCCGTGCCGTCCTCGAGCTCTTCGACAAGCAGGACGGGCTCCGCCGCCTCGTCAATCTGGTAGGACAAACCACATGTGATCCTCAGTGTAACCCTGAAATCTTAACCATCTGTGTCATTCATTTATAGGAAATATGATTCATTTCAAGAAACTTATTAACTGAGAAGTCAGTACAATGTCACAACATAGCATATGCACTAATATGAGATATGAAATGGCTGTTTCCAGATTAGCACACTGGAGATACTGAACCCTGAAGACCAGGGAGCGCTGCTGAGCGATGATGAGATTTTCTCCAGCAGGCAGACGGCCAAGCACACCTGCATGGCCCTGCGCAGGTACTTTGAGGCCCATCTGGCAATCAAGGTGGAGCAGGTGAAGCAGTCCCTGCAGCGCACAGAGGGCGGTGCCCCCATTCACTCCCAACCCTACTATAAGGTATGAAGAGGAGA